ATAATCATGGAGATGATGAGGAGTTTTTCTTCCTAGCAGTAAAACGACGAAACGTTAAGAATCGATACATTATTATCAACAAGATCAAATTCTATAAGAATAAACCAGGGGGTAAGATTATAAGGAAGCTCATAAGATGTATTTTTAGCAAAATTGGGAAATAAATCAACGATATGTCAATAAAAAATTGAGAAGAAGTAGAAAACAAGAAATGAAATTTTGTTAAAGAGAAAAATAATGTGCCATTCTGAAATGTGAGATGCCTAGAAGTACATGACGTATTTGGAATAGAGATCTATTTCAATCTCATATCCAGGTAAACAAAAAAGTTGGAGATGTGCATGTAATTTGATGTGTTCGTGTGGTTGTTGCACCTTGAATGTGGCGGGAAAGCTATGGAGATCTATTTGCTGAAATGACAATGGGAGTTTATAGCTAATGAAGTTGCCAACCAGATCATCATGAAATTGCAGTTGTCATGATTGACTACCACTGCTTTGTTTGGTATGCGCATTGTGTTTTTTAAGATTCTCAAAGACTTTTAATTTGGACGCTTTGTATTTTATAAGAATTAAAAAGGAAAAAAAAAAGCTACTTCTTGTAATGTAATTCAATATTTTATGGAATTAATTTTTCTAACCCTATTTTTTGAATGGCAATTATTTATATTTAATTGAATCCTTATTTAAAGGATGGGTCTATCAGTTTACATTCAACAGTTTTGTTTCTTTAATTCACTGGACGAAATCAAAGTCCATGTATTTCATATTCACAGACACTAGCTAGTACATTTGCACTGATGTAATACTAAAGAAGTAGACTACTTGCAATGAATTGATTAGGGGTGCAATTGGTCGGATGAAAATGACATGCCTTAATCTTTTTCAATCATTAATATGTTTTAATATCTTAGGCATGAATCATGTAAAAACACATTTCAGCCTAATTCCAAAAGCCAAATTTTTTTTATTTAATTTTTTGATAATATATAAATATTGGAAGATTACATGTTCCATTTCCTCATAATTAAAAAAAATAAAAATGACAAGAATTAAAAGTAAAATAAATAACTTTAAAATCCTCCACTACCAATTCCAAATTTCACCAACATATTTTTTTTTTCATTTTAATACATAATAGCTTGTAAGTAGACTTTTCATGGATCGAGCATGCTGTCCATGATATTTATTCCATTTTCTTCCTTTCCACCTCTTTAAAAATCTTTCTGTTCCAAAAGAGAGAACACTAATGAAAGAGACAACAGCAAGTATTATTTTTTATTGCTTTTTGAGTGGAAAATTGGTATTAAAGGTAAAGGCACTCATTGCCATGGAAATTTCATGAGTTCTCCCTTTGTCAATTTCGCTCTTTATATGGTGCAATTGAATCTGTCATCCAATGGTATCAAGCTTTGAAAAGTTTGCTTAATTTCTTTTATGTAAGAACACACTTGAATTGGCCTATGAATAGCAGTCGAGAGAGAGGAGATGCCTAACTCAACCTACCTAGTAACTAATCCAAAATGAAAGCATTGTTTCTCATAGTATGCATTCTCTTAGCTTCCTCTCTCTTTATTCCCACTTCTACCATGGCTCGATCGACAGCTGCAGGGTAAGAGCAACTAGTTTTTTTAGTATATTTTACGATTAAAAATTATAATTACAATCAAATAATTTTTTCTAAAATAAAAAAATTGATGCAAATTGCTTGAGTTAATTACATTGATTTTATGTATATGGATACTTTAACAGCATGATATATCCTTGTAAATTTTACAGCAGATCCCATTTATAATCGACCTGGTGTTCCATGTGGCCGTGGAGACCCTTACAATCGAAAGTGCGCACCTCATGTAAAGCCATCTCTTCCTAAGTGTACAATCCATAATCGTCGTGGCTGCAGTCCTCTTGCATCTTTACCTTGAATGTGGAGGGAAAGCCATGGAGATCTATTGGCAAATTATGATGGGAATAATTAAATAAGGCTAATAAATAAGTTGCCAACCAGATCATGAAGTTGCCGTTGCCATGATTTGTGTTTTGAACACTACTACTAGTACACTTTGTTTAGGATATATATGTGTAATAAATTGTTCCTAAGAGCTCATATTGATGAATTGATAATTTCTAGTAAGATTCTTAATTTCAACGTAAAATTTTAAAAAAATAAAAGTACTTCCCGTTATATGTTGAATTTAACTTTATATATATTATATATTATATCCAATGGTGGGATTGGCTTCAGCGAGAAGACAGTAATAAATTATTGTTTATTCACCTTCTAAACAAAAGAAAAAAAACGAGTATGCTGCTTTTCCCCCACACTATTAAGTCTCTTAAATCTTTTTCCTAGTAAGAGAATATGTCAATGAAAGAGATAACAAGAAGACTTTGTCTCTTGTGTGGAAAATTGGTCCTAAAAATGCAGTCATTGCCATGGAAATTTCGTCACTACAGTCATCCCTCTCGTCAATTTTGTTGTTTTTCGAAATCATACTCAAAGCCCTACAACTTGTGTGAGGGCCAGAGAGCATGCATCACCTTTTCACTATCTTTCCCTTTCCAATAGTTTTGTTTCAATTAGATCTTTGAAATGGTCAACAAAAATGTTCTAGTTAATGTGACCCTCTAACCACATTTGTGGACTTGGGGTCAATGATTTTAGCTTTCATGGAGAAGAATTGAATAGTAATTCAAAGTCTTTGAAAATTAGAAATTGAAATAAACTATGATTATTGTTTATTTACCTTCTGAAAAAAATTTGATGCAGGTTGTTGAACAGGACACTTTCATATAACAAATTTTCTTCACTACATGTATATTTTTTCCAAGTAATGAAAGAGACAACAGCAATAATTCATGGAAAATTGGTCCCAAAAGTGAATGCGCATTGCCCTGGAAATAATGGCATCCTTATTTGAAAAGTATGTAAGAACACACTTGAATAGGCCTATAAATAGCAGTCGAGAGAGGAGTTGCTTAACTCAACCTTGCTAGTATACTTCAATCCAAAATGAAAGCAATATTTCTCATAGTATGCATTCTCTTGGCTTCCTCTCTCTTTATTCCCACTTCCACCATGGCTCGACAACTGGTCGACAAGGGTAAGGCCGCCTACTTTTAGTATTTCCAATCATTTTAAATAACTTACGTACATTCGATTGCTTGCCATGGAGAGTTTCTTAACGTGAAGAGAGATAGATATAATAAATCTTATATATCGTTTGTAATGAATGAAAAAAGGGTATGTTGTGTTGCCCTGTTTTATTCTCCTCTGTTCATCCCCGTTCCCGTATGATCAAAGCGAGAGGTTTCTACAGTAATAATATCTCTCTCCTTAAAACTCCAAAGCTCTGCATTTGGCAAGATGAGATGGAAAAGGAGACTTGATCAGTGAAAGAATAGAGATATCCACTTTTTTTCTACTTAAGCAAATGCAATGCTATTTATCAGCTTTGCAAGTTTTTTGCAGCATGAGTTTTCCAAAATAGATTTCTTATATTCATTTTTATCACACGAGATTGCAAATTGAATATAGGAATAAAAGGCTTCCAAATTCTTTTAATGTAAGAACACACTTGAATAGGCCTATAAATAGCAGTCGAAGAGAGGAGATGCTGACTCAACCTGCCAGTAATTAAACCAAAATGAGAGCATTGTTTCTCATAGTATGCATTCTCTTAGCTTCCTCTCTCTTTATTCCCACTTCTACCATGGCCCGAGAGCTGCAGGGTAAGAGCAACTAGTTTTCTTTTTTGTAGTATATTTACAAGTAAAAATTACAATTACAATCAAATAATATTTCTTAAAAAAAAAAGTTTGATGCTTTGTTTGAGCTAATTACATTGATTTTATGTATATGGGGGCTTTAACAGCATATATACCTTGTAATTTTGCACAGATCATTTATAATCGACCTGTTGTTCCATGTGGCGCGGAGATCCTTACAATCGAAAGTGCCCACCTTATGTCTAAGCCATCTCCTCCTAAGTGTACGATCTATAATCGTCGTAACTGCACTCCTCGTGCACCTTTGCCTTGAATGTGGAGGGAAGCCATGGAGATCATTGTCAAACTTATAATGGGAATAATAATATAAAGCTAATAAATAAGTTGCCAACCAGATCATGAAATGCAGTTGCCATGATTGTGTTTTCACTACAGTATACTTTTAGAATAGTGTTGATAATAAATTGTTCTTAAGAGCTATATATATATATATATATATATATATCCAATGTATAATTCAAATACTAAACGAAAATGCACAATGCCAAGAGTAAGGAATTGAAATTTTATATGTATTGGTAGGATTAGCTTTAGCAAGAAGGGCAGCAATAAATTATTGTTTATATTCACTTCTAAACAAAACCAAAAAAAAAAAATTATGCTGCTTTTTCTTCACATATTAAGTCTCTCTAAATCGTTTTTCCAAGTAAGAGAATATATTAATGAAAGAGATAACAAGAACAATTTGTCTCTTGTGTGGAAAATTGGCCCTAAAAATGCAGCCATTGCCATGGAAAAATTTGTTACTACAGTTATCACCTTTTCACACTCTTTACCTTTCCAAAATGTTTTGTTTCAATTAGATCTTTGAAATGGTCAACAAAAAAATGTTCTATTAATGTCTCCGCCCGGCTGCGGCCCGCCCTGCGGCCGCCGGCGCCCGGGGCGCGCGGCGCGCGGGCGCCCGTCCGCCCTGCGCGCCCCCCGGGGCGGGCACGAGCCCCGGGGCCGGGGGGGGGCCCCGGCGGCCCGCCCTCGTCGCCGTCGCCGGCCGCCGCGGGGCCGGCGCCGGCCGCGCGCGCGCCGCCGACGGCCGCCGCGGACGGGCGGTGCGGCGGCGGGGGCGCGCGCGCCCCCTTGTCCGCGCCGGCCGCACACGGCGGGCCGCTCCCCGGCCGCCGGGCGCACCCGCGCCGGCGCCGCCTCCGGCCGGCGGCGCGGGCTCGACACTGCGCGCGCCGGCGGCCCGCGCGCCGGCGGCGGACGCCTCCGATGGGCGCGCGCGGGCGGCGGACCGGCCGGGCCGCCGCTGGCCGCGGGCTGCCGGCCCGCCTGCGGCGCTGGGCGCCGCCGGGCGCCGGCGCCCGCCCGGGCCCGCGGCTGGCCCCGGGGGCGTCTGCCGCCGGCTGGCCGCCCGGCGCCCTCCCGAGGCGCGTGTTGGCCGGGGCGCGCCCGCGCGTCGTTCGCCCCGCCGCCCGCGCGGCCGGCCGCGGCGGGCCGGCGTCCCGGGCCCCCGGTCCGGCCCCGGCGCGCGCGCGCTGGCGCCCGCCCGGCGCGGCCCGCGCGCCGCCGCCGGCGCGCGCGGCGGCCGCGCGCCGATCTCCCCGTGGGGAGCGTGCCCTCGGCGCCCGCTGGCGCGAGCCGGGGCCGCGCCGAGCTGTTCGCGAGGCCCGCCGGCTGCCGCCCGGGCCGGGTCACGCGCGCCGGGGGGCGGCGCGGGCCCCGCTGGCCCGGGGCGGCAGCGCGGGTCCGGCGGGTCCTCGGCCCTGGCGCCGTCCCGCCGGCCCGCTCCGCGCGGCGGGCCCGGAGGCCCGCGGGCGGGCGCCCGGCCCGGCCGCCGCCGGCGCGCCTCCGCCGCGGGGCCGCGGCGCGTCCCCGGGGCGGCGGCGCCGCGCGGCTGCGCCGCGGCCGCCGCTGTCGGGCGGCCCCGGCCACGCCCTCGGCCCCGACCCGGGCGGGGGCCCCGGTCGCACCGGGCCGGCGTGCTGCTCCGCGCAGCTCGCCCGGCGCGCGGCCCCCCGCGCCGGCCGCCGCGCCTGGCCGTCGCGCCCGCGGGGCGCTCGGGGGGCCGGCCGCCGGCCGCCCCGCGGGGCGCGCTGGGCGGCGGGGCCGGGGACCCGGCTCGCGGGCTGGCCGCCCGGGCGCCCCGCGCGGCCTGGTCTCCTGCTGCGCCCCGGCCGGCCAATCCGGCCCCCGCCCAGCGCCGGGTCCGCGCGCGCGGCGCGCCGCGCCTGGGCCGCGCCGGGCCGCGCCTCGCCGGCACGCCCGGCGCGCTCGTGCGCCCCGCGGCGCGCTGGCCGGGCTCGGGCGGCGGGGCAGCGCCCCGGGGGCCGCGGCCGGTCGCGCCGCGCGCCGCGCGCCCGCGCGGCGCCCCCTCCCGGCGCGCGGCGGGCCCGCCGCGCGCGGCCGACGCGCGGGTCGCGCGGCCCGCTCCCGCGAACCCCTCGCGCCGCCGTGCGCGCCCCCGGATGGCCGGCCCCGCCGCCGCCGCCCGTGGCCCGCGGCGCGCGGTCCCGCGTGCACGCCGGTCGCCGGGCGGCCGAGGCCGCGCCGCCGCGCCGGGTCGCCCAGGCGGGGGCCGCGTCTCTCCTGGCGGCCGCGCGGGCCGCGGGCGCTGCGCGGGGCGGGGGGCGCTCTCGCGGGGCCCGGGCCGCCGGGCCCACGGTGGCGGGGAGCCCCCGCGTCGGTCCCGCGCGCTCGGCGCCGGCCGCTGGGCCGCGAGGCGCCTCCGCGGTGCCTCGCGGCCCCGTCCGCGCCGGCCCGCGGTTGGGCCCGGCGCCGCGCCGGCGGTGGGCCCGCCGCGGCGCGCTGGCTTGCGGGGGGCCGGGCGGCCGCCGTCGCGGCGCCGCCCCGGGCCGCGGCAGTCGCGCGCGCGGTCGCGGCTGGGCGGCCCGGAGCGCGGGCGGGCCGCGGTGCGCCCGCCGGGCGGCACGGGCCGGGCTCGCGCCGCCGCGGCGCGGCCGCGCCGGCGGGCGCCCGGCCCGCGCGCCGCCGCCGCGTCCCGGGCCGGGCTGCGCGGGGGGTGGCGCCGGCCGCCGCCCCTCCTCGGCGTGCGCGGGGGCGGCGGCGCCGCGCGGGCGTGGGTCCCCCCCGTCGCGTGGCCGGGCGCTCGCCCGGCGCCTGCCCGCCGCCCGAGGGGTGGGCCGGTCTGGCCGGCCGGCCCGCTCGCACGTCGCGCCGCAGGGGGCCCGCGGGCCCGCTGCGGGTGCCACCGCCCGGCCCGGGCGGCGGCGCGGCGCGCCGGTGCGGGGGCCCGCGCCGGGGCGTCGCGGGTCCCCGCGCCGGCCGGGCGCCCGTGGTAGGTGCGGGCGCTCCGCGCGCCGGGGCGCGGCGGGGGGGCGGGGGCGGGCGCCCGCGTGCGCCCGTGGCGGCGCCGCCCCGGCCCTCGCTCGCCGCGCGCCCGGCGCGCTCGGGGCGCTCGCCGGTCCCGCGCGCGCGCCCGCGGGCGCGCGCGCGCCGCTGCGCCGCCCTGGGGCCTCCTTCCTCCGGGCCCGTGGCCCCGGGCCCGCGGCCGGCCTGGCGCTTCCCTGCCGCGCCGGGCCCTACGCGCGCCGCGCCCGCTGGCGCCGGCCGTGGCGCCCCCGCGGCGCGCCCTCGGGGGCGCGGCCGGCCCCCTCCGGGGCCGGCGCCCCGGGCGCTCCGGCTCGCGCGCCCCGGCGCCCCGCGCCGGTCTGCGCGCGCGGTAGCCGGGACATCTGGTCCTGTTCTCTTGCCCTCAGCCAGCCACGAGACCCACACGCGCGCGCGCCGCGCAGCGCCGCGCTTGCGGCCCGCGCCGACGGCCTTTGGAAGCGCGGGCGGCGGGCGGGGGCGGGGCGGGGGGCGGGGGGGGGGCCGGGGGGGCGGGGCGGCGCGGGGGTGGGGGCGGGGGCGCGCGGCGGGGGGGCGCCGGGCGGTGGGCTGCGGCCGGCGGGTGGGGGGGCGCGGCGCGGGGGAAACCGCGGAGCTGCTCTTTCTCGCTGCCTCTGTTTGTTCTCTCTCCACGCCCCGCCGAGCGCACAGACTCGCCTCGGCGGCGACAGGGTTCCGGGCGGGGGGGGGCGGCGCATGACACCTCCTCTGTTCCTCGCTGTTTCGTCTTTTCGCGCCGTCTGTGCTCTGTTGTCGTCGTCGGTCTGGGCGGGCCTTCTTCGGGCTCTCGCGTCGTCTGTGTTTCCTCGCCCTTGTTGCGGCGCGCACCCTGTCTTGTCTCGGCGCCTCTGGGGCTGCCGCGTCTGCTCTCCTGTCCTTGCCTGCGCCGTCCGTGGCGGCGCATGCTGTCCTGGTGTGCCAGGCCGCGGTGGCGCGCACTTCGTGTCACGCTCACCTTGGGTCTCACCGGCGGGGGCCCGCGGCGGGGGCGGGCACCGCCGAGCAAGCACAAACCTCTGCTTGGCGCTGCTCGGAGCACCATTTCCGGGGTGTCATCTGCTGTCGTCTGGTCGCGTCCCGCGCCCGCCGCGCGCTCGCGACCCGGGCCCCGGCCGGCGGCGCCCGCCCGTAGGCACTCATCGCACGGCTGGCTCTGCATCGCGCGTCGCCGCGTGGGGTCGCGCGCGCAGGCGCGGCGGCTCCTTCTCCTCTCGTCCTCGGGGCGGTCGGTCTCGCCTCTGAGGGTGTGCGCGCCTGTACGCGGTCGGCCGCTCCCGGCTGTCCGCGCCCGCGCGCGCGGGCGCCCCGCGCGGCCGCGCCCAGGCCCCGCGCGCGCGCCCCCGGCGTCTGCGCGGCGCGCACCCCCCCCGTGCTGGGCGCCCCGGCGGCGCCCGCGCCGCCCCGGGGCCGGCTCGCGCGCGTGTGCTGCCGCGAGGCGCCGCGACGCCTCGCCCCGGCGGCCGGTGGTGTCGCGGGCGGCCGCCCGACGCCCGGAGGCGCCGGGCGCCCGGCGGGTCGCCGGCCGCGGCCCGCGCCGGGCACCTCTAACTACATTTGTTTGTTACTAGTTAATCATGTATTATTTTGGATGTTTGGCTTAATGACTGATTGCCGTGTTTGTTTTGCTGATGCCTACTGTTGGTTTTTTCATATCTGCTACTTCATGCTTTTGCTTTTGGCATGTTCCTAGTTATTAGGGTTTGCTGCCTTCGTTGGATTGGATATATTTTTTGCTGCGATTGACGTTAGTTGTATAATAGTTGATTTTGCACACATTGATTTTAATGAGGATGGTTTCTCAGTATGTAAATACAGGTTTTGCTATCGTCTATGTACCTCCTTGCCTTCTCTGTACGATTGACTATTGCCTCTAGCCATTTGTTACCGTCACCTTGGTGGAAAGCATACCTCTGTTATGTAATATACCAATGTTATTATAATGAATTCTCATGCATTGATTAAGAATAAAAGGTAATTTCAAAGTTTTTGGAAATTGGACAATTGATTATTAAAAACTCATGGATTATTGTTTTCTAGCTTTCTTAAAGGCAAGGGTTGTTGATACAAATTCTTTTCATATAATTATTAATACAATTTAACTTAATAAAATTTTTTTTGATTATATAATATATAATATATATGTGTATATATCATTTTACCTTAACCATTTTGTTTCTTTAATTCACTTGACAAAATCAACTCAATGTATTTCACATTCACACAAGCTAGTTGCAATTGCCATTTATATAATAATAATAAAGAAGTAGGCACTTAATACTTGGGGTGAAAGTGGGTCGGATCCATGAAAATGACATGCATTTCTTTTTTAATCATTAATATTTGAGGAAATTGTAAAATAATTTATTGATAAGAGTATTTTAAAAATAATATCAAAATAAATTTAATTTTTTATTTAGTCAACTTGACAAAAATACCTTTGAAACTATTTCAAATAAATTAAATCATTTCATTACAATTTTTTTTCATTTTGCTTCGATTTTCTCTCTCAAAATCCCCACTTCTCAAATTTTATCGATTTCTCTCTTTGGCATTGTCTTCTATGCTGACCCGATTTTTTCTCTCTCACGCTTTCAGATTTCTCTATTCCAGCACTTTGAAAACACCAAACGAGGTTTTGATGTGGCTTAGGAATGGTATGAATAATTTGGAATTTGATTTTAGGTATTATCGGATAAAACTAAAATTACATAAAAAATTGATAAACTATTTGAAATAGCTTTTAATCGGTCAATTCAAGATCTACGACACCCAATAAACTCAAATTTTAAAAATTTACAATCTAGTTTTCAAATGTAATTTTTCCTCCTCCTCATTTTTACTCACAATAGGGTTTTAGATAAGAAAATATTTGTAGTTTTTTGATTTATAAAAACATGTTAGAAACACTTTTATCAGGTGTGTCAATTTGTTTTCAAAAAAAAATAAAAAAAAATAAAGAGTTGAGAGATTTTGAAGTTTTGGTTTGTAAAGAGTTAACAACAACAGTTTAGGCATTAAAGTGTAACAAAATGTTTTTGAATATGACGTGTAACAACAATATTTTTCAACATGGTGTGTAATAACAGTATTTTTTTTTTAACATGGTGTGTAACAACTTTTTTTTAATCATGACGTGTAACTTGTTTTTGTACATGGCGTGTAACAACAGTATTTTTTTTAACATGGCGTGTAACAACCTAACCATGGCGTGTAACAACCTAAACATGGCGTGTAACAACCTAACCATGGTGTGTAACATGTTTGTACATGGCGTGTAACAACTTAACTATGGCGTGTTATACATTTTTGTACATAGCGTGTAACAACCTAATCATGGTGTGTAACATGTTTTTGTACATGGCGTGTAACATCCTAACCATGACGTGTCACATGTTTTTGTACATGGTATGTAACATCCTAACCATGGCGTGTCACACGTTTTTGTATATGATGTATAACAACTTAACTATGACGTGTCATACGTTTCTGTACATGGTGTGTAACATCCTAGTGTGTAATTTCATTAAGGATAATTTTGTCCAACTTGGTTAAAAATAGTTAAAATTATAAATGAGAAAAATATCTTATTTTTAAGGGTTATTTTTTAAAATGCCCCTAATATTTTTAATATCTTAGGCATGAATCATGTAAAATCACAATATTTCAGCCCAATTCCCAAAATCCAAATTTTATATTATTTAATTTTTGATAATATATAAATATTGGAACTTCATTAAAATCAAGATTACATATTCCATTTCCTCATAATTAAAAAAAAGTAAAAATGATAAGAATTAAAGTAAAATAAATAACTTTAAAATCCTCCACTACTTCTTCCAAATTTCAACCAACACATGTCCTTTTTGTTCTTTTTTTCCTTTTTACTTCGATAAATAATAGCTTGCAAGTAGACTTTTCATGGATCGAGCAGCTCGTATACTATCCATGAAATTTATTCCATTTTCTTCCTTACCATCTCTTTAAAAATCTTTCTGTTCCAAGTGAGAGAACACTAATGAAAGAGACAAGAGCAAACATTATCTTTTATTGCTTTTGTGTGGAAAATTGGTAGCAAAAGTAAAGGCACTCATTGCCATGGAAATTTCATGAGTTGTCCCTTTGTCAATTTTGCTCTTTATATGGTGCACTTGAATTTGTCATCCAATGGTGTCAACCTTTGAAAAGTTTGCTTAGTTACTTTTATGTAAGAACACACTTGAATTGGCCTATAAATAGCGGTCGAGAGAGGAGATGCTCAACTCAACCTAGCTAGTAATTAATCCAAGATGAAAGCAATATTTCTCATAGTATGCATTCTCTTTGCTTCCTCTCTCTTTATTCCCACTTCCACCATGGCTCGACAACTAGTGGGTAAGAGCAACCAGTTTTTCAGTATATTTTAAGCGTAAAAATTATAATTACAATCAAATAATTTTAGTTGTTTGTTCATGTGTGAAAATTCATTAAATTGTAAAATACAAAATTAAAGATAATTCTCTTTTAATCAATCTATTAATTTTATTCTATTTTTAAATAGGAAAAAGAAAATTTTCTTCTTTCTTTTTGTTTTTAGCCTAGTTAATATCCTTGTTGCCTTAGCTAATTACTTTGGTTTTATGTCTGTTAATTCCGCAGGTATCCCTATTAAGGCTCCCGCTGTACCTATTCGATGTCCCCCTGGTTCTCCGTATCGAAGATGCTTCCCTCCAGAAGTACCCAAAAAGAAGACTCCTCCTGAGTGTAATCCTTACAGTCGTAATTGCCATGGCCTTCCTGGACCTTGAATGGAGGAAAACTATGGATTTATTAGCAAACAATGCAATGAAAGTAGCTATAAAATAAGCTGCCAACTACTCATGTATCGTTGGTATAGAAATATGAACTTTAAGTTGCCCATCATTTGTATTATGATCAAGTCTACTTTGTGTGAGTTATGTAATGTATTTTTATATATACGTTAGAAATAAAAAGTTAAATGTTCACTTCAGTTTAGTTATAAAGTGATAAGAGTAAGGTTAGATTTGAATATAAATCTTAATTTATAATCAAAAACAAAATAAAAGTAAATTAGTAATAAATTGCCCACTAGATCATGAAGTTGCAGTTGCCTTGTTTTGTATTTTGAAGACTGGTACTAATGTACTTTGTTTAGAATATATGTGTAATAAATGCTCTTAAGAGCTCATGACGATTTCAAGTAATATTTTTAATTTCGAAGTAAAAGTTACTTCCGGTTATACGTTGATATATATATATATATATATAATATAATTTAAATACTAAACAAAAAATGCACAATGCATTGAAAATATGGTTTCTTGGTCAAATTCGAAAACTGTTCAACATATCAAGCATAATTATGAAGTATTTATTGGGGTTTGTTAATGGGAAGGGATAAGGGATGCTGTAAGGTGATCTTGATTATGGACAATAAAACCATTGCACAAGTGATTCAAATGGAAACAGATTAACCAAATATTAATTCAGATTTAGCTTTGGCCATTAAAGATCTCTTAAGGAAGGAATGGCAAGTTAATATCATTTATGTGTATCGCAAATTCAACCATTTGACAGATTTTCTTACGAATATGACTTTTTAGCATTTTGTTGGTACGACACTTCTCAAGGATTCTCTTAGGAGTAGTGCTTCTCATGCGTTATTTTGACATAAATATATTATTTTATTTGTTTTTTTTTTCAAAAAAATGCACATTGCCAAAGGTAAGTAATTGAATTCTTTATAAGCTTTAGCAAGATGGGCAGAAATAAATTATTGTTTATTCACCTTCTAAACAAAAAAAAAGTATGCTGCTTTTTTCTTTACACTATTAAGTCTCCCTAAATTTTTTCTAAGTGAGAGAATACATTAGTGAAAGAGATAACAAGAACAATTTGTCTCTTGTGTGGAAAATTGGTCCTAAAAATGCAGTCATTGCGATGGAAATTTCGTCACTACACAGTTATCTCTTTCTTCAATTTTATTCTTTTCCGAAATCATACTTAAAATCGATTGTTTTAAAGATAAAATCTTGAAAAATCTCAAATAAAATAATATTTTATATCAACAAATATCACACTATTCAGAAGTTAACATGTAAACACTTTTTTTTTTAATTAAAAAGGGATAGTAACATAGCATAGATAACAAAGCCCTACAACTTGTGTGAGGGACAGAGGGCATGCATCACCTTTTCACTATCTTTCCCTTTCCAATAGTTTTGTTTCAATTAGTTCTTTGAAATGGTCAATAAAAATGTTCTAGCTAATGTGACCCTGTAACTACATTTGTGGAATTGGGGTCAATGTTTTTATCTTCCATTGAGAAGAATTGAATAGCAATTTAAAGTCTTCGGAAATTAGAATTACTTGATATAAATTATGATAATTCTGTTCATATAATGCTTTTCAGGAATCCTCCAAAGGATAGTGCTTCAATTTTATTAAATGATATTATGCAAATTTCATTCACACGCATTATTTTGACATAAATGTATTATTTTTATTTCTTTCTTTATAAAAAATGCACAATATCAAGAGTAAGTAATTGAAGTTTATATTAGCTTTAGCAAGAAGGGCAATAGTAAATTATTGTTTATTCACTTTCTTAAAAAAAGAAAGTATGCTGCTTTTTCTTTACACTGTTAAGTCTCTCTAAATTTTTTTCCAAGTAAGAGAATTTATTAATGAAAGAGATAACAAGAACAATTTGTCTCTTGGGTGGAAAATTGGTCCTAAAATGCAGTCATTGCCATGGAAATTTCGTCACTATAGTTATCCCTTTTGTCAATTTTATTCTTCTTCAAAATCATACTTAAAATAGATTATTTTTAAAAAATAAAAATTTAAAAAACTTTGAATGAAATGAATATCAAGTATACTCAAAATTTGACGCATGAACACATTTTTTTATTGCAAAAAGGATATTAACATAGATAACAAAACCCTACAATTTGGGTGAGAGATCGAGTGCATCACCTTTTCACTATCTTTGCCTTTCCAATAGTTTTGCTTCAATTAGATCTTTGAAATGGTCAACAAAAATGTTCTAGTTAATGTGGCCCTCTGACCACATTTGTGGACTTGGGGTCAATGATTTTAGCTTTCATGGAGAAGAATTGAATAGTAATTCAAAGTCTTTGAAAATTAGAAATTGAAATAAACTATGATTATTGTTTATTTACCTTTCTTAAAGATGTGATGCATGTTGTTGAATAGTGTACTTTCATATTATTAATTACAAGTTAATTAACAAATTTATTCTTTATATTATATATGTGTATGTGTGTATGTATACGTGTCTGTATATATATTTGTAAAATAAAAATAAGTATTCCTAGTTTTCTTTTCTTCTCTAAATCTTTCTGAAAATTTTTATAATTTTTCCAAGTGAGCGAGTACATAATGAAAGAGACAGCGGCAATAATTCATAGAAAATTGGTCCCAAGAATTAATGCACATTGCCCTGGAAATAATGGCATCCATATTTGAAAAGTATGTAACAACACACTTGAATAGGCCTATAAATAGCAGTCGAGAGAGGAGTTGCTTCACTCAACCTTGCTAGTATACTTCAATCCAAAATGAAAGCATTATATCCCATACTATGCATTCTCTTGGCTTCCTCTCTCTTTATTCCCACTTCCATCATGGCTCGACAACTGGCCAAGCAGGGTAAGGCCGCCTAGTTTCAGTGTTTCCAATCATTTTTTAAATAACTTAAATATATTTGATTGCTTTGCATGGAGAGTTCCTTAAATGTACGGAGACATTAATAATATAAATCTTATATATACACACACACGCATGATCGATCATATATAAAAGTTTCATAATTTTAGTTTTTCATCCACGTGTGAAAATTCATCTGATTTAAAACAAAAAATTAAAGATAATTTCTCTTTTACTCAATCCATTAATTTTCTCTAATTTTTAAATAGGAAAAAGATCTTTTTTTCTTTCTTTTTTTTAGCTTAGTTAACATCTTTGTTGCCTTAGCTAATTACTTTGGTTTTATGTCTGTTAATTCCGCAGGTATCCCTAATAAGCTTCCTGCTGTACCTATTCAATGTGGCCGCAACGCTCCTTATAAAAACTGCATCCCTGGAAATAGACCCAAGGAGCCTATTGCGTGCAGCAATCCTTACAGTCGTAATTGCCATCATGGTGCACCTTGAATGGAGGAAAACTATGGATTTATTAACAAACAATGTCAAGAAAATAGCTAATAAGTTGCCAACTACTGTATCGTTGGTATAGAAATATGAAATTTAAGTTGCCCATCATTTGTATCATGACTTCTACTTTGTATACAACGTAGTGTATTTTTGTACTTACGTTATAAATAAAAAGCTAGTGACCACTTCGGCTTAGTTATAAAGTGATGAGAGTAAGATGAGATTTGCATATAAATCTTGGTTTATAGTCAAAACACTTCTTCTTACGCCAAGAACAAAATAAAAGTAAATTAGCTAGTTTAAACTAGTTGATAGACTATCCTATAAATGCAATACATTTAGTTAAGATTGTTATTATATAAGGCTCAGTAAAACCTACAGATTTTACGAAGAATATGAAGTTAAGTAGGTGGAGATTACATGTATACACCTTCCTCCTGTAAAACACCGTCGAGAAATTCATGCCTTGCCATTAAACTTGATATCAAACAAGCATCTTTTCCAAAATTTGAAAGGATATACTAATTACATATGGATATAGCAAAGACATCCACTTAATTGTGTGAAGGAGAGGGACTGAGAGGACATTACTTTCTTTCCAAAGAGAGATCACCCTTCATCGAACTCCACAACCTCATTGTCTTCTTTCCTTTTCAGTGGTTTCGTCTCAATTAGATGACTTTGAAACAGTCAAGAAAAGAAAAAATGTGTTAATGAATTCGACCTCAGACTACATTTTGAACTTGGGGTCCATATGTTTCTATATATCTTCCATTGAGAAGAATTGTATAGTAAATAATAGCCAAAGCCTTTGGAAATTAGAAATTGATGTAAACTATGATTATTGTTTATTTACCTTGTAAAATTCTGGTGCATGTTGTTTGAAGGATTTTTTCATACTTCAAGTTACAATTTGAGTAATAAATTTGTTCCTAAATATATACATGTGTGTACATATGTATGTGTGTGTGTATATATATATATATATATATATATATATATATCTCAAGATAAGTATTTTGAATTTTCTTATTCCATTGAGTCTTTTTGAAAATCTTTATAGTTTTTCCAAGTGAGAGACTACATAATGAAAGAGACAAACAAGAATAATTCGTGGAGAATTGGTCCCAAAAATTAATCCACAGTGCCTTGGAAATTTCATGGGTTCTTCCCCTTTGTCAATGCGTCAATCTTTGAAAAGTATGTAGGAATAGACTTGAATAGGCCTACAAATAGCGGTCGAGAGAGGAGATACGTAACTCAACCTACCTAGTGATTAATCCAAAATGAAAGCATTATTTCTCCTAGTATGCATTCTCTTTGCTTCCTCTCTCTTTGTTCCCACTTCCACCATGGCCCGGGATATTCAGGGTAAGAGCAACTGGTTCTTTATTGTATTTTTTTTCTCAGCATATGAAGTTGCAGTTGCCATGATTTGTGTTTTGGAGACTACAACTAGTACATACTTTGTTTAGGATATATATGCAATGTTATGTTTTAGTGTATCCAATTGTTTTAATAAGTTATTCAATCCATATATAATTAAATTTCAACATATTCAAACTTCAATTTGTTTTGTTAGATAACGTTATATTTTCCGATATAAATTACAATCACAATCAAATAATTTTTAAGACTAAAAACTTAATTTGGTGCTTTACTTTAGCTAATTACATTGATTTTATTGTGTATGGATGATTTTAACATGGACTCAGGGCGAATGGAGAGGGTTGGCGACTCCTCAGTTTTTAATTTTTTTTATTTTTATGTGTATAAAGTTTAAAATATATAGCATTGTCACCCCTAAACAAATCAAATGAATTGATTTGGAGTAGTAGTAAGAAATCCAAGTTAAATTTTAATAGCACAAATCTCTTTCTCCTCTCTAAACCAATAAACTATACTAAACTTTTTAACTCACACAAATTTTGAAATCTTTATGAATCTATCATAATTTATAGGTAATATTTTAATTCCCAAATGCCAATTCAATTTTAATTTTTACATTTGCTTTATATTAGTAATATTTAATTTTATGAAGGATATTGTACTTCAATTATTGTTATGTATTTTTAATTGATACAAATTTAATAATGTATGAATTTGAAAGGATAAAAACACGTTGAGCATAGCTTATGATACCTAATATGAAAATCTAATGTTAATTTTTCCTTTTGCTCTATGTTTACTTATATTGATGAATCTAAAAATTTATATTTAAATTGTTAATCAAATTTTATATTATAATTTTATTTTATTTCAAAAATGAATAATTTTTTATTCTGAATTGAATTATCAATTCGATCTATAACCTTATATAATTACTCTTTAATAATCTTCATACAAAATTCTGAATCCATCACTAAACATGATATATGCTTGTTAATTTTGCAGGATATCCCACTTATGTCAAACCACCAAAACCAAATACACAGCTGCATGCTCGAAATCATGATCCTGGTGAGTGTACGATCTATAGTCGCTGCCGTTCTGTACCTCCCGTTGCACCTGTACCTTGAATGTGGTGTGGGAAAGCCATGGAGGTCTATTGGCAAATTTATAATGGGAATATATCTATAAAGCTAATAATAAGTTGCCAACCAGTTCATGAATTTGCAGTTGCCATGATTTGTGTTTTGAAGACTACTACTAGCATACTTTGTTTAGGATATATCAAACAGAGGATTAATTTTTAATTTTTATTACTATTATTATATATATAATTTGAGATATAAAATTTTATTATTTTGTTATAATTACCTTTTAATTATTTTTCATCCAAAATCTTAATCTTGCCACTAATATAATATATATGTAGTATTGTTTGTGCAATAAATAGTTCCTAAAAGCTCATGAGTTCCTGTTATATAATTCAACAACTGGTTGAATTCAGCACTTTCTATATATGTAATGTATTCAATAAAAAGCGAGGGATAGTTTAAACTTGTATAATCAATCGTCTGATTATTTAATGGGATCGTAATATTAATTTTTAAAAAAAAATTATTTTATTAGTACTAAATCATCATGTCAATCAAAATATTGCTAAAGATTTTTTTCTTAAATAATATACCTGGTTTGTGAAAAAAGACTTGTATCTGGCTTCTATTGGCATAATGCAAATTTCTTAACTATTCTCCACCGTATAAATCATATAGTAGACAAAAAAATGCACAATGCCAAGAGTAAGTTATTGAAGCTTTATATCCATTGGCAGGATTAGCTCTGGCAAGAAGGGCAGAAATAATTATTGTTGTGCTGCTTTTCTTCACACTTTTAAGTCTCTCTAAATCTTTTTCCATGTGAGAGAATATATTAATGAAAGAGACAACATGAAGAATTTATCTCTTGTGTGGAAAATTGGTGGTAAAAGTGCAGTCATTGTCATAGAAATTTCGTCAGCACAGCTAACCCTTTTGTCAATTTTGCTCTTAATCTATTCCATTGCAATTTTGTCTTAAGATAGTTATCAGATAAGGCTCACTAAAGCTTGTAACTTTACATGAAGATTAAAGTAGGTGGAGGTAACATGAACACTCTTTCCTGTTAAACACTGTTAGAGAAATTCATTTTTTTTTGAAAGATAATTTCATTAATACCTTGTTTTGCAAAAGATGTCCCGTAAGGAAAGAGCTGCAAAATCTAGCAGCAGCAAGACAGAGAACATACAAGCTCAAAATCAACCTGATCAGGTTGTAATGGGATCAATGTAGACGACCCACAAGAACAAACCAACAGAGATCACACACCTAGTAGATTGTTACAGACAAATCATCTCCTGACAACCCAAGAAAACCAAGAGGATATCCTTTACAAACAGTGCTCAGCAACACGAGCTAGCAGAAAAGAGGAAGCAAGAAAATGCTTGCAGATGGGCCTTCAACAAAAACACAAGGCCATATAGCAGAAGCATAGCTTGTCAAAACAGCCAAATAGAACAACTATCCAGCAGCAGAGAGAAGAAAAGAGTGTGAAACTGCAAACCTCGGAAGAGAGTTTTCAACTTTCAAAGACTTCAATCAAACGATGCATTTTTTATTACGACAATGCTAAAAGATTGCAGACAGAAATAAAAGTAGAATACATAACTTTAATATCTACCACTCCCAGAATGCCACCAACACATGTCCTGTTCTTTTTCTTCAAAACATAATACTTTGCAGGAAGACTTTTCTTCAAAATTTATTTGACCTAAAATAAAGATATCCCTTATTAAACTTAATAAAAAAATAAAAATTTATTGAATTTTTTAAATAATTTAAGGGTTACCTCAATAATTTTATTTTGTATAACGATGATTTTAACAACAAGGTATATGCCTGTATATTTTGCAGGAGGACAACCCATTGGTACCACACTACCCATTCATAGACCACCAAGGCCTCCGCCTGATCAATTTAAGCCTCCTGGCGGAGGTGGTCGAATTAAACCTCTTGGCAGACGTGGTCCGATTAGACCTCTTCCTACACCTTAAATGTGGGGGGAAAGCCATGGAGATCTATTGGCAAACTTATAACTGGAATAATTATATAAATCTAATAATAAGTTGCCAACCAGATCACGAAGTTGCAGTGGCCCTTGATTTGTGTCTTGAAGACTACTACTAGTATACTTTGCTTACGATTTGCATAAAGTGTTATATGTGTAATAAATAGTTGTAAAGAGCTCATGATGGTCTTGTACTTAAAGGATCATCCTCCCTTTCCTTTCTGTATTAAGAAAATTCGTGAAGAGTTGATCTTCACGAGTTACGCCCACTAGCACATCCAACCCGTTTATCACTTAAATTAAAGGTTCAACTAATGTTATCTGTAAATATAGTTTGTAATGAATGGAAAAGAAAAAGGGTATGTTGTTGCTGCCTTGTTTTATTCTCCTCTGTTCATCCTTGTTCTCGGGCATCAAAACAGAGGTTACTTACAGTAGCCATATCTCTCTCTTAAAAGCTCTAGAGCTCTACATGTGCAAGATGAGCAATAGAAAGGAGACTTGATCATTGAAAGAAAGGAGTCTTTCTTTTTGCCCTTAGCAAATGCAATGCTTTTATCAGCTTTGCAAGTTTTTTGAAGCATGAGTTTCCAAATAGATTTATTTTCTTTTGATAATCTATTACTAGGAAATCTAAGCATTTTCATTGGAAAAGCTCTTCTGATTACTAAGAAAAAGGAATTTGATTACAGAGACCTTGTTTTCTCTTTTAAAATACCATATACTTGAGGCCAGTCAGCTCAACATACTCCTAATTCATGCTGCATGCAGCTCAACAAGTCAAAACTAAGATGATCCCAAAGTTTCTTCAATTTGTGAGGCCAAAATGAGAACATTAAATCCCTTTAAAGGAAGAACAAAAAATGCTCATTCTTGTGTATTATCTTTCGATATCTATCTAATAGGCAAATGAAAAAAATAGTAGGGGTAACAAATCTGCAATACAAGAAAGGTTATATGGAAAAAGTTGGTTTCAATAACTTAGAAATAAGGAGGTTTCTTTTAGTAAAATTAAAAAAAATGAGGTTTATATATAAAAAAATTTTTAGAGATCATTAAATTCACATAATCCTTTAATAGATCGGGAAAAAAAGAAATAATTGAGAATTAATAGTATGGCAGGAATTGAAAAAGTGATAAAAAATTAATATTTATTGGACAAATAATTTAGAGAGTAAGAGAATATATCATCTTATCAATTATCTTAACTTATATATATATTTAATAAAAAATGAGATACATAACTAAGAATTAATGGAGATGAAAAAAGTGAGAGAAAATAAATATTTATTAAATATGATAGAATAAATAAATATTTTATTAACTTTTTAATTATTTTATATTTTTTATACAATTAATTATATTGTTATTATAATAAATGAAGATTGAAGAATATGCAAGTGAATTTGCAAGTCTTTTGTCTTTTGTTATATGAAGCTGAATCCCTTGAGCTTAAATTAAAGAGACATCATACTTTTTCAGAAGAAAGCAAAGGGATATATTATAGTTTTATTTTCAAAGTAACAGTTTTTGTCCTTTCATTATTGATATACAGAGGCTACATGTCAGCCCTAAGTTCAAGCCTTAAGGGCAAAGCAACCCATCTGACAAGTTTGCCATTGCAAGTAATTAAACAAAATGCCAAAGTAACTCTGCTTCTTTGAAGACTGTTAATATATCAAGTCTCCAGCTTGACCGGCTGAGCAATCTGCTGTCAAATAGTTCTTGTTGCAGATAAAGTTAGTACAAGAATGGAGTTCCTTGAATCCTTCAAGCAGAGCAAATTTCGCAGATTAAAGGCATTGACTATCATATTTAAGTCCCATTCTATACAAAAAATGACATGTATATGTAATCCCAATGCTAAGTATTCGAAAAGTTTTTACCTTCACCATGTTCATGCTTCAAATCCTAGTGAAAGAGTAGATAACATTGCAAGTATGAAAATAATTATACAAATAAAAAGAAGACACAAAGTAGAAGGAAACATAGCTATTAGAATTCTATAAATAAGACCACAAAACCTGGGGTTCTTGCATCATTTGGATTCTGATAACTTAAGAATGGTAATCATGAGAAGCAGCATTGTTTTTATCATTCTGCTTGTCTTTGTTTCAGTTGTGGTACAATCAAAAGCAGATTCTGTGCACTGCAGAAATCCCGCAAGCCGATGCTATGGAAAGTACATAGAATGCCCTTATGAATGCCCTAGCACTAGCTATGGAAACCAGAAAGCTAAAGTTTGCCATGTTAACTGTGATTCACCCGTCTGCAAGTCCTATTGCAAACGTAAGATCGCCTGCTTCCTGTTCATTTTAAGTGTCTCAGAAACTAGAAGTAGGATGACAAAACATGTTATTTATTGTAAAACATATGAATGTTAAAGTTACATTGACATCAATTTATTTTTTTCTCTCATGGTTTTAGATCGCAAACCAAACTGTAATGGTCCTGGATCAGCATGCTATGATCCTCGCTTCATTGGTGGTGATGGCGTTGTCTTTTACTTCCATGGAAAGCGCAATGAGCATTTCAGCTTGGTCTCCGACAGCAGTCTTCAAATTAATGACCGCTTCATCGGCCATCGCCCTGCTGGCCGAACCAGGGACTTCACTTGGATTCAAGCATTAGGAATCCTATTTAACTCTCATTCCTTCTCCCTTGTGGCCACTAAGACTACAACATGGAACAGTGAAGTCGACCATCTAAAATTCAGTTACAATGGGGAGGATTTGGTTGTTCCAGAAGGTGCTCTCTCCAGTTGGTACTCCCCAGAGAAAGATGTGAAAGTTGAGAGAGTAGCAAACAAGAACAGTGTCATTATAACTTTGAAGGACAGTGCAGAGATTATGGTGAATGTAGTTCCAGTGACCAAAGAAGATGACAGAATTCACAACTACAAAGTACCTTCGGATGACTGCTTTGCTCACTTGGAAGTTCAGTTTAGGTTCTTTGCCCTTTCTCCTGATGTTGATGGATTGCTTGGCAGGACTTACAGGCCTGATTTCGAAAACCCAGCCAAGCCTGGTGTGGCAATGCCTGTTGTGGGTGGTGAAGACAACTACAGGACAACCTCACTTCTCTCTGCGGACTGCTCAACTTGTTTGTTCTCACCTGAAAGTGGTTCAAACCAGGAGACCACATCTGTGACTGAGTATCTCACTCTTGATTGCACCCGTGGGGCTTCAGCAGGATATGGAATGGTTTGCAAGAAATGAGTGCTAGATTTGATCGGTGAAATAATAGAAGCTAAAGCTATATCTCCTGTCAATAAATGAATATTGTCATCCTTCTAGTGCCTCATTCATGTATTGTGCTACTATATTTTCTTTTATGTAAGTTCTGTATGTTATATGCCTGCATTGACTGGTTATATATTTGGTTCCTTTAATCAATGTTGTTGCTGATCAATTGTTATTGATTGATTATGATTCAGTTTGTATTGATCCATCAAGTGAACGACAGTTCACCTCATTAAAATCAATTTTGCAAGACTATGCCCCTAACAAATGACTCAAGGAGTATACCAGTACAAAATCACACTAAATTTTCCTGAAGAACCCTATAAGCTCATCAAGATTCCAGAATGTACAAACCCATCGACCCAACACACAAGACACAAAAGCTTAAGGCTGCCGAGACTTTCCCTGTGAAATTAAAGCAAAAAAAAATGCACCTATTAAGACTGGTGAAGTACTCTGTTGCCTCCTCCTTCTATATTATCAGTACTCCTACTAGTTGCTTCATCCCATACATGGAAGCACAAACTTTCTTCCATATTGCATAAAACATTCATAATTGAAGCTTCTATCAATCTATCTGATTTCAATGACTAACCTTGGGCCTTCGCAAAGAAACATAAGCTAGCCAGATAAAAACAATCTGCTCATAAAATAATTACTATTTTATATATATATATAGAATCCATATAGATCCTCGGTTTGTTTCTGTAACTTTCTTTTGTTATGAAATTTGGAGACTACCTTTCTACTAAATTCTTTGAGAATTGTAGTGTAACGATGAGGGTCCAAATACAAGCCACATAATTTTTATCTAAGTTTTAAAAATTTCGTTGAGATGAGTATCACAATCCCATTGATTCAAATTCTTAATATCCTTACTAAGGCCATATATCACAATTGTAATCAAGATCTCACAGGATCAAGATCTTACTAGCGTAATGTAGAAGTCTATACTAGAATAACACATACTCTTATACTAATTATAACGATCTGAGTCCACGTATCATTGGCTTAATAACTTTTCGAACTTAAATTACACAATCTTAAAAAATAACTCAAAGTGCTAGTAATGATTGGCTTAATCTTTTATATAGATCTTAATTCAAATGAGGTGCAATGGGCTATCATATGTAAAATAGGCCTAGGAAGCCAGTATTTTACCAAATGCAATGCTTTTACCAGATTTGTTAAATTTGTGGCAGATTTTGCTAAAGTTTCCGAATAAGTTAGTAAGTCACATAAGATGCAAAACCTTTTGGCTTCAGAGTAAGATCTGCACAAGAGCCTGGTCAGAATCTAGAAAGAATAATTATTTCAATAAATGATTGTTGAGAATGCTGTCATCTTGACAGCAATTTTGCTTTCCTTTACTTCTGGTTATGCAACATTCTTGTTCTCCATTGCAGTTAATTGGAATTTTGTTTTTTAAATGAAAAGAAAAAATAAATCTAGGGTTCATATGGCCTACTATCACAGTCAACACAATTCAATGGAGGGATGCTCAAACATTTATTTATTTTTTCTTTTGATATATCATTGCTGATAAACCTGAAGTTTAATGCCCAAAAATTTTATCAGAAAACCTGCTATAAAGAAAAAGAAATTTGATTATGGACCATGTTTTCTCTTCAACAGAGCCATAGTTGAGAGCCATCAGCTCAAACATATCCAAAAATTTATATGTATTATCTTATTCAAAATTATGTTCAATACCTAACAGAAACAAAGAAAAGAAGAGTATGTCCTCCACCAAGTAAGCTGCAACAAGATAATCAGTGGAAGCAAACTAAGCAAAACGAAAACGATGGAAGCAATAAAAGATTAAGATAACACATATCCAATACACACCCAAGACAGGTTATATATATAACTGAATCCTTAAGTATCTGATAGGAAAAATCAAATTTTTCAATAAAGAAAACATGGATGCACCTTGATTTGGTAAAGTTAAGGTAAAGAATCAGAACCTGTATATGAAATTAAGTAATTTGACTTAGATATTCTAGCCTTGTATGAAGAGCTAATTCTCCTTGAGGATACAATTAAAAATGTATATGAAACTTTTTTCAGAAGAAAAGTGACTTGGGAGAGTTTTGTCATCAAAGTAACACTGCCCTTTTGCCCTCTTAGCAATGTCAATAGTCGGCCTTGAGTTAAAGGGCGTAAGGCTAAAGTATCCCACCTGGTTACAAGTCCAAACCTTTCTTCGGACAAGTTGGCAACTAGTTGATTAAAAGCTATTTAGTTAAACGGCTGCCACTACTTTCTAGGGCTCTTTGGGGATCCTTCCATCCTTGAAGCAGAGAACACTTTACAACTTAATGGCATTGATTGTAATAAGTAAGTCGTCCCAGTCAATTTAAAGAAATGACAAATACTTCTAGTCTCACCATGTTCATGCCTCACATTTAGGGAGAGCTTCTTTAGACAAATCATCACAAGTATAAAAACAATTAAATAAACAAAAAGAAGACTTGCATTCAAAGGGAAATTTGCCTTTAGAGTGCTATATAGACTGCAGAAGGAAACCTAGAGTTCTTCAATCATTCAGAAAACAAACCTTGTTTCTTTCTGCTAACATTGAACTATGAAGATGTTGAGAAGCAGATATAGTTTCATCATTCTATTGATATTTGTTTCAGGTGTGATACAAGCAAAAGCAGATGACTTCAAATGCCCTAAAGCAAGCCGATGCTATGGAAAGCATATGGAATGCCCTAAAAACTGCCCGAGTGCAAACTCCATGAACAAAAAGGCTAAAGTTTGCACTGTTGACTGTAATTCAAATAGTTGCAAGCCCCACTGCACGCGTAAGATCACCTGCTTCATTTTCTATTTTAAAGTTTCTCAGAAACATGTTCATGCTTCTATACCTATATACAGCAAAAGAATCCCTTGGTTTCTTTCTGCTAATGTCAAATATGGAGATCAAAGAAGCAGCTCTATGATTATCATTCCATTAATCATTCTACAACTTTGTTTCAGATGTGAAAGGTATACCATTACCGGCAAAACCAGAATATTTCCGCTGTCCCCCAGCAAGCCGATGCCAGGGAAAGTTTATGGAATGCCCTTATGAATGCCCAAGCATTAAATTCTCGAACAAGAAAGCTAAAGTTTGCTACGTTAACTGTGATTCACCCGTCTGCAAGCCCCAGTGCAGGCGTAAGATCACCTGCTTCCTTTTCATTTTGAAGTTTCTCAAAAGGAAAAAAAGTAGAATGCTGTGAATGCTAAAGTTATAATGACGTAAATGTTTTTTTTTTTTTTTGATTTCATGATTTTAGATCCCAAGCCTAACTGTGATGGTCCTGGCTCAGCATGCCATGATCCTCGCTTCATTGGTGGCGATGGCATTGTCTTCTATTTCCACGGAAAGAGCAACGAGCGTTTCAGCTTGGTCTCTGATCGTAGTCTCCAGATTAATGGTCGCTTCATTGGCCATCGCCCTGATGGCCGAGCCAGAGACTTTACTTGGATTCAAGCACTTGGAATCCTTTTCAACTCTCAGAAATTTTCTCTTGAAGCCACCAAGGCTGCAACCTGGAACAGCGAAGTAGACCATCTAAAGTTCAGTTACAATGGGAAGGATTTAGTTGTTCCAGAAGGTACTCTCTCCCTTTGGTACTCTCCTCATAAAGATGTCAAAGTTGAGAGAGTAGCAGACAAGAACACTGTCATTGTCACATTGAAGGATACTGCAGAGATTATGGTCAATGTAGTACCAGTAACCAAGGAAGACGACAGAATCCACAACTATACATTACCCGCTGATGACTGCTTTGCTCACTTGGAGGTGCAGTTCAGGTTCTCTGCCCTGTCCCCTGTGGTTGATGGGGTGCTTGGCAAGACTTACAGGCCTGATTTTGAGAACCCTGCCATGCCTGGTGTGGCAATGCCTGTCGTGGGCAATGAAGATAAGTATAGGACAACTTCACTTCTCTCTGCAGACTGCTCATCTTGTTTGTTCTCACCAGAAAGTAATTCAACTTCAACTAAAGAGACCTCTTCGGTGACAGGATATGATTTTCTAGATTGCACCCGTGGTGCCTCCGCCCGATATGGAATCATTTGCAAGAAATGAGGGGTAGAATACTCATCCGTTGATCCGAACAGTGAATAACAGAAGCTAAAGCTTCTGCCAAATAAATATATGTTGTCATCCTTTGAACCTGCTGATTTATGCATGTGTTAGGATACCTATTTGTTCATTATATGTCATTATGTTATGTGGCTGCATGGGAGCCAGGTGCTCAGCCGGAGCATCTGGTTGAATGAGCGGTGACTCCGAAAGGCAATTGATTGTTGGTTGTCGGTTAGTATTAATTTCTCATTAATTATGTTTTAATTGAAGCAAGAACTGTTCTTGAATTTCGAGTTCAAGACAGTAGATAGATCGAACAAGATTGAACTCGCCATGCTAAAGAAAAGCCATTGAACTCCCAACATATTATATTCACGTCAAGCCTTTGCAGAGTCAATTGCAACCAAATTTGCCACCAAAAAGAAATAGAAATTAAAACTTAAAATATATATATATTTATTTAAAATCATCATTCATAAAGTAACTTCCAACAACTGAACAAATGTAATTAGTACAATATACCATTGCCATCCTCATTATGACCAAGAATGGAAATGTTGTGGAACAGTTACCTTCACATGATAAACTAATTTTTTTAAGTGTGGTGGAGCATAGTATTTGCTAATAAAACTACAATGGGAATTCACCTTATTATTGGTGAAACTATTAAAATGATGATAAAAAAAAATTTTAATCTCGTATCAATTAAATTAGGATATTTCGAAAACTTTTATAATAAGGGTCTCTCCAATTATCTTCAATCAATTTTAAATTGAATATTTGTCTTAAAAAATTTAACGTGATATTAGAATAAGTTGCCTTATTTGATTGGTTTTCTTATGAATTCTTTCGAAATACATCCCTTAAATCCATTTTTGTTAGATGTGAGGGGATTATTGAAGTAGCAATGATAAAAATAAAAATCTCAATCTCACATTAGTTAAGAGTATCTTAAAAGCTTAAATTTAATAAATATCTCTTCACTTATCATCAATTGATTTTAAATTGAATACTTATCTTAAAAATTTCAACAAAAACCATTTGTCACAGGTAGAATCAATCATATATAATCTTGTAGATATGAGCAAAGAGTTTGGTATTTTTTTAATTGCAGCATCACTGATTTTAGCTTGGTTATTGTTTTGCAGTGAGATTTAGACAATTATGTTTTCATTAATAAATTCAACACATTTAGACTATATGATACATGTACATACTTTATATCTCAGATCTAGATATCTTGTTCTAAACAAACAAGAAATTTGACAACATTTGCTACTTTTTTTTTATCATGCGTGAATTCAAGATTCAATAACTTGAAAATAGACTTTGCTCATAGCCTTCTTGGAATAGTCATAATAAACCTCTCAAAGGGTCATGAGTCAACTTTGTACGAGACCATAATAAGGTAGAATTGTCTAAGAGATTGAGCCTTTTTGTACCTATAAGGAACTGTCCCTCTTTTAAACAATGTAATTGCTTGTGGTAACACTTTCACAAATATTTGTTAAGTCTTTTGGGAAAGACCCTTCAGGAAAGGAATGTCTCATTTCAAACGTTGTAATGATTATTAGTAGAATATCTATAAAACCTCGTAAACTCTTTATAGGGGTTGAACAATTAGCAGATTGTTAAGCTGCTTTACTAGTAAAAATATGTTTATAACGAATCATTTAAAACTGTCCCTATAACCTGACGATGACGTGTCTTAGATCTTTTATAATTAATTTAATATTAATAAAATATTTTTTCTTTTTATGACTAAGTGATTGTATATATGACATTCGATATACCTTTTTAATTTTGATACGAGTTTTTTTAATATGATTTATTGTTATTATTAATATTGAAACAAATACAATTGAATATTAACTTGCATGAAAATGTCCACTCAAGTGCTGAAACGTAATTCATGACACAAAGCATAGACATGCTCCTCACATGGAGTTTTGAATTTGTTATGGACCTTTAATAACAAGAGTTATTACTAAATCCTAGTCTTGCCCTGCCTATATCATCCAAAGCAGTGAATAATTTCTGCAGCAGCAGCATTTCTTAAAGAAACGAATGAAATGGGGAAGCTAAAAATGAAAGCAGATACTAAGAATTTTCCTGCAGATTCATTATTCCCATCCAGGCTTTAAACATGTTAAAGTTAACATTGATTAAGGCGACCTGGTAAACTACAACATTAAACAGTCAGCAGCCAAGCAAAGATACCAAGAATCCTCTCACATCAAATTCTTTCTTCTTAAGCAACCTTAAAAACTTCACAGATTTCCAATCTTTTGGTGTACCATATAATCTTATGTTTCTTTGTATACCAAAACATGGTCTTAAACTTCAATTCCGTTCGCTAAACCCACCCTGAAAACCACCGTGCCATTCTCCGAAACCATTCGGAAAGCCACAGTCGTACTAACTATCCCTTGACCAGGCTCTTTTAGCCTTCTTTTTGGTGACCATGGTAAAACCCTGGCATCAAAAACGTTACCTATGACATAACTTTTGTTTGGAAAATCACAAACTGTCACGTTCCAAGTATATCATTCTTGGAAAGGGTTATTAAGCGTTTAAGGTAGGTTCTATTAAGAGTGAAGATGAAGCTGCAGCAACATCTACAACATCCTCCACCGGAATCCTCCATGTTTTTCCAGTGACTGAAAATTGGTTGTCCGGTGAAACTGTTGCAAAGGGTTATTATAAGTTTACTTAGAATAAAGGATATATGGAGACAAGGGCTAATCAACTTGCCTTGAGTAAAGACAGCTACTCTGATTTGGAGGGCAACTTGCTGACAAAAGCCTTACTTCCATGCTCAAATTGATTTGAACAGAACATGGCTGTCAAAGTTGTTTCGTCTCCCGTAGTCAATATTTATCTTGTCAACCTAAGGATCAGAAACTCAATAAACAATGGTCACTTCGCGGACACCCTCAAAATCTACTCTTCAATGTTACACAACTCTAATGTTCATGGAAACAGCTTTACTTTCCCATTACTCTTCAAGGCATGCGCATCCCTCACTTCTCTTCGTGACGGCACGAAGCTCCACGCCCACGTGCTGCAACTTGGCTTCGTACACGACATCTTCGTACAAACATCTCTTCTCGACATGTACTCTAAATGCTCATGTTTAGGCTCTGCTCGCAATGTGTTCGACGAAATGCTTTCAAGAAATGTTATTTCTTGGAACACTATGATTTCTGCTTATTGTCGTGGCTTCCGCGTAACGGAAGCAATAAAGCTGTTGAAAGAAATGTGGGTTCTTGATTTTGAACTAAGTGCTTCCACTTTTATTAGTGTCGTGGCTGCTTGCCCCAATCTTCACCTAGGCTTATCAATGCACTGTTGCATATTTAAACTCGGATTGCTACAATGTGAGATTTCTTTAGCGAATTCGCTGCTGAATATGTATGTTAAATTTGGTTTTATCGATGGAGCTCGTTCTGTTTTTGATACTATGGATGAAAGATCGATCTTTTCATGGACTACTATAATTGGTGGCTATGTAAATGTTGGAACTGTTCGGGAAGCATTCAATCTCTTTAGTAGAATGAGAAAATTGGAAGGTGTTAGTCAGGATATGGTGCTGTTCATTAAGATCATTTCAGGTTGTGTACAAGCAGGGAATTTGCCATTAGCATCATCAATTCATTCGTTAGTTCTGAAATGTGGATATGATGGTGAAGATCTGATGGATAACTTGGTTCTTAACATGTATGCAAAATGCGGTGACATTGGCTCTGCTCGAAGAGTATTTGAAATGGTAGATGAGAAATGTATTTTCTTGTGGACATCCATGATTGCAGCGTATACTCAGTTTGGTTACCCTGCTGAAGCATTGGATTTATTCAAGAGGTTATTAAGAACCGGGCTCAAACCAAATGAAGCAACCTTTGCGACCATACTCTCTGCCTGTGCTGATTTGGGGTCACCAAGTTTGGGGAAGGAGATAGAACATTATGTGAAAATAAATGGATTGGCTTCAAATCGGCAGGTCCAGACCTCATTGATTCACATGTACTGCAAATGTGGGATTGTGGAGAAGGCAGAAGAAGTATTTGTGGAAGTTTTACATAAAGACTTAGCTGTTTGGAGTTCCATGATAAATGGTTATGCAATTCATGGCATGGGAAATGAGGCTCTGAACCTATTTCATCAGATGCAAATAACTGAATCTTTCAGCTTAGATCATGTTGTTTTCACAAGCATATTATTGGCTTGCAGTCATTCAGGGTTGGTGGAGGATGGATTGAAGTATTTCAAAGACATGAAAAGGGTTTATGGAATAGAACCTAGCATAGAGCATTATACTTGCTTGGTCGATCTTCTTGGTAGAGCTGGTCACTTTGACTTGGCCCTGAAAACCATCCAAGAAATTCCCGTGCAAGTACAAGCTCAAGCTTGGGCTCCATTGCTCAGTGCGTGCAGGAAACATCGCAATGTTGATCTTGGAGAATGTATAGCCAGGAAGTTGTTAGATTTAAATCCTGGAAACACCAGTAATTATGTTTTGATGGCTAATTTATATACATCTGGAGGTAAGTGGAAGGAAGCAGCTATAACAAGAAGCATGTTGAGGAATAGAGGATTGGTTAAAGAACCCGGTTGGAGCCAGATTGAGATCAGTGGCTATATACATGTTTTTGTTGCTGGAGATAGATCACATAATCGGTCTGCTGACATCTACAAAAAGTTGGATGAGCTTAATATTAAACTTAAGGAAGCTGGGTATATTGCTGAAATAGATATGGTGATTCATGACTTGGAAAATGAAGAAAAAGAGGAGGCTCTGAAGGTTCATAGTGAAAGGTTGGCTGTTGCGTGGGGACTAATCAGTACTGACCTGGGAACCACTCTTACAATCATAAAGAACCTTCAAACTTGTGTTGATTGTCACTCGTTTTTGAAGTTTACCTCCAAGGTTACAGGCAGGCATCTTATTGTAAGAGATGGTCAACGCTTCCACCATTTTCGGTCTGGCTCCTGTTCGTGCAAGGATTTCTGGTGATAGGCTTTCATTTTATTCATTGCCTCAAAATGGTGTTCAACCCATTCCTTGATTATTGAAATCGATTCAAGTAACACCGTCAAGTTGGTGAATCTGCCATCTGAAGGTCCATGGAGGCTGAGGAAATGGATACTCACCGTCAAGAGGCTTAAGAAGGATGTCATAAACTGGGAGGTCAAGCATACGTTTAGAGAGAATAATCATCTAGCTGATCCACTCGCAAAAGCAGGGGTTCAGCGCACTCAAGACCTTATCAAAGTGCTGGATCGATGCCTGGTATGTGCTTTTGGTGTATGATTTTGATGGACCTCAAATCTGTGATGGTTAAGCGGTTTGAACTGGACAATTGTGAGACTGCCTTTTCTTGTGATTATGTTTCTGGTTTGTGTGTATCTGATGGTGATGCAAAGGTGAACAAGGGGGTCTTGGGTTTGGATGGACTCTTGCTGGATAAAAGTGGCTTTTGTTACGTGTGGGAGCTCTTATTTTTGCAATGTTTTGTATGTACAGAGACTAAGATTGAGTCCCTTTTTTCTTTTTTTCTTTTTTTTGCAAGTCTTGATAGTCTGGGCATAGGACGTGGGAGATCCTGTAGGTGTTTGTTTTATCCGCAGGTCATGTTAATAGCGTTTGTTGATATTGAGAGAATTGGGCAGTGAATAGGGAGCCCAGGGAACTTTTATCTTTTGTACAGAACTTCGGGGATGATTCAGATTTGTCACTCTTAAATTCTGGGAGTTACAGGCCTGAATTGTTCTGTTTCCTCCTTCCAGAGGTGAACTATTGGTTTCCTCTGCATGGACTATGTAGGGAAGGCTCAGTTATAGTCATTTGATGTCAATATGTGAAATATATCCTACTGATTTTTCATTTTTTGTGTTATTTTGTCATGTTTGAAATTTGCCCATACAAGTTTTTAACTTGCTGAAAAGCCCAGCAATGAACTTTAGAAAGGCATTAACGCCATGCCAAATGTGCTTAGCCTGACCAAAAGCATTTTGCTATCAATTAAACAAAAAACGAAGCCATCTTAAAGCAAAATAGGAGATTGTCAACTGCCAATTTTTAGATCATAATTACGGGTCCCAAAGCATTGACCAAGATTTTAGCAATTAATCCTGCCAACAGTCCGGGCTAGACCATGTTCCTGCTTCAAAATTGAGCTAAATTCTAGAATAAAATTCTAACAGGATTACTTAAAATGGTGGAAGGACACAAAATTATTCCAACTTGTCAATTTCTATAAAGAGAGTATAACAGATCACAAGAATGTGCCTCTGAAGTTGGGTCTAAGGCCTTCTTTTTTGGGAGCTTAGGCCATTGAAACAGAAGATGAACGCCTTTTGCAACAATTCCTACTTGATCATTCTGTTGCTCTCGATCTCAGCCCTGGTGAAGATTGATGCACAGAATCGTCCAGTGACGACGACCTGCTTTTCACCCAGGAGTAGATGCTTTCGCAGGACTATGAGATGCCCAGCACAATGCCCTTCAACAAGGCTATCAAATCCCGGAGCCAAAGTTTGTTATTTTAATTGTGATTCCCCCATTTGCCAGGCTGAATGCAAAAGTGAGAACTACAAACCATTAATTTTTCATGATAAACTTATATTTAATGTGGACTTATAAGTTCTTACAAGATTTTATTTTGTGATTATAGATCGGAAACCCAACTGCAACGCCCCTGGAGCAGCATGCTTGGACCCGAGATTCATTGGTGGAGATGGCATTGTGTTCTACTTCCATGGGAAGAGCAATGAACATTTCAGCTTGGTATCAGATCTCAACCTCCAAATCAATGCCAGGTTCATTGGCCTGAGGCCAGCAGGCAGAACCAGGGACTATACTTGGATCCAAGCATTGGGTGTCCTCTTTGGTACTCAAACCTTCTCTCTTGAGGCCAAACATACAGCAACTTGGGATGAGGAATTTGACCATCTGAAGTTCTCTTACAATGGGAAGGATATTGTCATACCAGATGGCCATCTATCTTCATGGCAATCCCCAGAAGGAGACCTTACAGTAGAGAGAACATCTGAAAAGAATAGTGTCTTAGTGACTCTACCAGAGATTGCTGAGATTTCAGTCCATGTGGTGCCAGTAACCAAGGAAGATGATAGGATCCATAACTACCAAATACCCTCTAATAATTCTTTTGCTCACTTGGAGGTGCAATTCAAATTCTCTGGCTTATCTTCAAATGTTGAAGGAGTGCTTGGTAGGACTTACCAGCCAGACTTCGTGAACCCTGCAAAGCCAGGAGTGGCCATGCCAGTAGTGGGAGGGGAAGACAATTACAGGACCTCATCACTTCTCTCTGAAGAATGCAAGACCTGTATATTCTCCCCAGCCGGATTTCTGGACCAAACAGATTCATTGTTGATGGACTTTGACACCCTAGACTGCACCAGTGGAGTCTCTAGTGGAAGTGGAATAGTTTGTAGGAGATAATAATGGACTTTCGGATACTCACAGAATAAATTACTTCCTGTTCTTAAGGAATAAATGAAAGATTGGCTGCAGTATAAGAAATTAAGAATATGTTCAGTCAATTTTACCATTAATTGATTTAATGGGTTAATCAACTTTAGTCAATTAATTCGATTTTAAGCTACTTAACCCGAATTATTTTACCTTTTAAACGTAAGAGCATACCACCAGTGCTTGCGCCATTTCTTAACTTATTCTTTACTTAATATTACGTTGTCTTGTCATGTTAAATACCCTTGCCAAGTATAAGTCATAAAATTCTCAAATCATTCTAGTTTCTTTTATTTTTTTGAAGTTGTGTTGTCGAGGTAGATTTTCATCTCCGAGGCCTCTGTCAATCTCAATTCATCTTAATCACAACCGAAAAAATCAAAATAATTATGAAAGAATATTTCAAGTTGAGAAACATCAACAAAACCATCCATTAATTTATTTTTATTTTTATTGTTTTGATAATCAAACTTCTGGGTTTGTATCGATGCTTTGTATAATGGCTTTACGTCGTTAAAAGGTAATTATTTTGTTGCCAAATATGAGGGTTATCAAAAAAATTTATTCAATTGTTTATTTTGGGAAATAATTAGCATTATTTCTTTTTTATGGTTAATAACCAGATATGAGCATAGCTTTTCATTTTTGTATGGTTAGTCAACTATTAAGGAAGATGCCAATGTATTCCAGAGCTTGTCAGAGCAAGAGATAATCCAGGAGCTAAGCATAACTTGAAATCAAAATGAAAGGTAATGGAATTCCAACATTGCTAGTCAGTTCAGCAGCTGAAAATAGTAATTGATGCCTTAATAGAATGAACTCATCCAGTGAACAGAAGACAAATAACATATTCCTTATCTGGTAACTGTGTAATAACAACATGGGGAATCTGGAACCCAGATGAATTAAATCAACAATAATGGAATTTTATAGTGCGGTACATGCAATCTTTCTGATGGACTGATTGGTAGCCATCACTCACCTATATTACAAACTAAATATATTATGAATGAAAATTTTGAGGGAAAAAAACCGAATAATGTGATAAGAAGAAAAACCTTCATTCAATGTCTTGGGATGTTTCCAAGTATTTATCAGGGAAGGAGAACTGAATCTTCAGAATGATGTCCAGTGGCTTAAGATCACAAAAGGGGCAGGACCACTTGTCATCTATCGTCCCCGAGGGTTTACTAGTTGTGAAAATACTGCACTTGTAGCAGCATCTTCAGCATCATCATCAGTGCCAGAGTTCCCCCCATCAATCATGCTCACGCTGTTATCAAATGGCTCAAGTGGTGTCAACTGAATGGCTGGGATATGGTTGGTGCTGTTATCATCAGGTTCCATTAGTGCTGATGAGGTCTCCTCCAGCTGAAGAGCATATTCAAGGTTCCATAAAACGTCTCCCATTGATGGCCTGTCAATGCCGTGCTCAGCCAGGCACTTCTCGGCTGTCTCTCCATATTTCTTAAGAGAAGCTGGATTCACTTTCCCCACCAGATTAGAATCCATGATTTGATCCAACATACCTTTCTTCTGCCAGCCCATTGCCCATTCTGCAATATTAACTTGTTCTCTTGGGAGAACAGGATTTAAAGCTGGCCTAGTGCAGAGAACTTCCATCAGAACCACCCCAAATGAATATACATCTGACTTCTCTGTGAGTTGCTGCCTTCTGAAATATTCAGGATCAAGGTAACCAAAGCTACCCTTAACAGCAGTACTCACATGAGTCTGATCTAAAGCTGGACCAGTTTTTGAGAGACCGAAATCTGCTACTTTGGCTACAAAATTCTCATCCAAGAGAATATTTGTTGTCTTCACATCTCGGTGAATAATGCTTTGGGCTGCACCAGTGTGGAGGTAATGAAGTCCTCTAGCAGCTCCAATGCATATCTCTAGTCGTTGCTTCCATGATAGAGGTGGGAGATTTGTTCCATAAAGATGACTTCTAAGGGGTCCATTAGCCATATATTCATAAACAAGAACCATTTCTGATCTTTCATCACAGTGCCCAATAAGAGAGACAAGGTGGCGGTGGCGAAGTTTCGATAACATTTCAATTTCAGTGCGGAACTCCGCAAGACCTTGTTCAGATCTGGGGTTACCTCTTTTAACTGCAACTTTAGTTCCATCTTCAAGTGTTCCCTTGTAGACCCTTCCAAAACCACCAACTCCAAGAAGTAGGCTCTCATCAAATTTGTTGGTAGCATTAAGGATTTCTTGGAAGGAGAAGAACCGCCCAAGATTGGAAGAAGCCAACGAAATGCAGCTTGCTGTTCCACTCTTCTGTGATGTTGTGGACATTTTGGTCATTGTCTGGGAGTTTCCATACAAGGGTAAAGGCAGCCATGGATGTCCTTGATGAGTAGTTTTTGACTTGCGTGATGCCAGGCAACAATAGCAGAATCCAATTAATGCCACAGCAGCTATACCTCCAATGACACAGCCAATTATTATCACTATGCTGTTCTTCTTTGAGGAGGATTTAGGAAGGAGATTCTTCACAGAAGAAAGCCCATCCAGGCTTCCAGCATCGTTGCTGATTTTCATAATCTCCAATCCATTCATTGTTGCATTAGTGATGTCTGCAACTGTATCTGGACCAATACTAACAGTCAAAGTATCGGACTCTGCTGAAGAATTGGAGATAAAGTCCTTATAATAAGGTACGTTTAGGCCGCCAGTCAACATCGAGAGGTCAAGACTTGCAACAGCAATATCATCATTTATGTACAGATTGAAAACCAAAGTGTTGAGAGACTGACTCAAGATATCACAAAAATGTACCCGAACAAAATACCTGAAGTTTGGATCAACAGGGAAGACCCAAGTTACATTGAAGTTCATGCTGGGTACATTTGCATCTCCCATGGCTTCAGCAGTGGCATAGACCAAATTTGGTGCTGTCTCTGTTGTAACCGAAGTCGTATATTTGATAGAAGCAGGATTGACAGAAACATTCAGAGCAGAACTGTTTACATGGAGATATTTCACATCATTCTCCCATGTTCTTCCAAGGCTATCATTCTGAGCAGTGATTAACGGCCCACCCATGTTTAACCTATAAACAGTTTCCATGGCAAATTCTGAAAGACCACTAAAAGGAGCAGATGGATTCAGAGCTAATGCCTGGTCAGGAAGGACTGAATCTGGGATGGAGACAACTTCAATTGCATTAACAAATGAAACCGAATTATTTGATGGAATGAAGGTAAGGGTTAAGGTATCGGAAGTCACATTGATTGCATACTCCTTGAACAAAAAAGAACCATTATAGTTCTTGAAAGTGAAGTTATTCAAGAGCACAAAACCATCAGTGACAACTGTTATTGGAGCAGAGTTCAAGTTCTGGCCTGATTTTGGAAGAGGATAAAAATAGAGCCGGACCCAATGCCGACCCTCTTGTTTCATATTAAACTTGTAAGAAGCAATGCCAGAAAAAATTCGAGCCGATTGATATATTGGAGATGGAACACTAGAATTAGAACTAGCAACAAAAGTACTTCCACTCTTCAAAGAAAGAGAGGAATGGCCCGAATCAGGAACAAAAGTTCTACCTTGGAATGTGACATTTTGTGAAGAACCACAAACAATCAAGTAGTTATCAGCAGGAGTAAACGAAGCCTGTGTTCTACATCCCAAAAACACAAACAAAGCAACAGCCAAAACCAACGCCACAAAATTCCCTACTTTCATCTTCCACTTTATCAATAACTCAAAAATGCCTAACAATAATCCCAACTTAACAAACCGTTAACAAAAAAGCATCAAAACAATGCCTTAAGCCCTGTAAACTAAGATCTACAGAAACCCCAAAATCCCACAAAACTCCAAAAAAATAAATAAATAAACCTCAAAGAACTCCTTCAAAATCGCAGTAACTCAACCCCCCAAAGTTCATATCTTTCCAAATCTCAGATCTAATTCACCCCAATGCTTACCCAACTACAATCTAAAACATTACAACACAATGCAAAAATTACATAAACTTTACTTCAAAGATCAGGACTTTATCAATACCCTTACCTCCCAAATGCAGCCAATATGGGAAACAACCAGCCATTCCCTGAAACTGGTTTTGAGTTCAACTCTTTTCGGGTTCAAAGACAAAAGCCAAGTTGAGATAACATGATTGTTACCGAGAAAAAAAGGGCCCTTTTTTTTTCAAAAGTGTAGCAGCTGCTTCTGCATATAAACCCAACTTTTCCAGGCTGTTGATTAGGCTGTCATTTACAGAGAAAACTAAGAGGACCCCACCAGTTTAGTAGAAAGAAAAAATTTTCTTTTTCTGTATTGTCAATGTATCTGAAGCAGCCTGGGAATGTATCACTTCCCACAAAAAACCAGCTGTTTATCTTTCTTCCTTCTCTCAGTACATTGAAAAAAGCTTTGAATTTTATGAGCGCTTAGTAGCTTTTCCATAAGCTTCCGAATTTAATAACAGAAAGCTCCATGAAAGTCCTGCAAGTCAAGCTTTATCGTATGTTTTTAACATAAAAAAATATTTTTGGGATCTCAACAAAATGGGAAAATTAAATAAAAAAATTTAATAATTAAATTGGTTGGAAGGGATTGGTTTATGTGCTGGGACCAAACGATCGCAAGGGACCCACTTTTACGCGGCTTTGGAGGGGACAGAGTTGACGGCGGTAAAAATTAACGGTCTTTCAATAAGTGGACTTGTAGGGACCGTTTGGCGTTTTCAACCTAATTTCTTGTCTCTCTAACGGCGTTAAGGGCGGGGAAATACATTGATATTGAATAAATGTTATTGAGAGAAAAAAAAACCCAAAAGCATTTATAATTTTTTAAAAAAATAATTTTGGAAAATTAATAATTAAAAATAATTAATTATTTATTTAAATATATACATAAATATTTAAATTCTATCAAATTACTTGTAAAAACATATATTCACACCTTTAAATTAAAATATGACGTAAAATTATTTTTTAAAAAAAATATTATAATACACAAAAAAAATTTATTTAAAATTTTTAATTTGTTTTTTTAATTTTTTATCGTAATCTTCAACATTTTTCCATTCTATTTAACTTGATTAATTTTTCATCAAAATTTCAATTTGTAGAGTTTTTTGTGTTAGATAAATTCTTTCTCCAATCATAACTGAATACTTAAAATTGAAATCATTCTAATTATCTCATATTCAAAATAATCTAAAAAAATTAAACCGATCAAGAAATTTCTTTCTTTATATGTTCTACAAGTATCATCCTCATTTAATCAAATTTTTTTTATAACTTTAGCTTGTTAAAAAATAATCAAAAAAAAAATCAAACCTTCAAATTCGTCAAAAGAGAAATAAATCAAAAACAATCTTAATAATATTTTATGAGTCAATTTCTCATGAATTTTAATCAATTTTATTTCTCTGCGAGAGAGTGTTATAAGACTACTATTTTTTTATCAAAAAAATTAGGAATGCTATTTTTTATTTTTTATTTAAAACTTCATGCAATCGAATATAACAAATTTTTTAAATGAGAAAAATAAAAGAAAAAAAAAGTGCAATCAAACAAAACCTTAACGCCGTTGACCAAACTTAGTGCAAGGAATCTCGACATAGCAACCGTTAAAGTTGACGTCCAAAGGGTCCGTTTACGTTTAAACCTTTGCCAAAATCCGCCGCATTGGCGCACATGGCCACGATCACTAACGTCCCTATCTCTTTCCTTTTTAAATTATTTATTTTTTTCTTAATTCTAAGATTTGGTAATTAATTTTGTTTTTTTCTAATTTAAAAAAATCATTTGTCAAAATTTTCAAATATTTCGTTGTCCTAACTTTTTTACGAGCTTAAGTGTCACGGGCACACGCTTCTAATCAAAAAAAATTTACTCATTAAATAAAAAAATTATTTATTTATAATATTAAACAAGACATCCGTGATATAAGTCGAAATCATTTACTTATTCACAAAGTCAATTTTTTTTGAGCAAAATGGGAAAATAATTTATTTTTTTTCAAAGCAGCAATTTTGGACTTTGTTATACGTAAGAGATATAATTATGTAGTGGAAAAGTGCAATCTTGAAGATTTATGTCCAAACTTGATATAACGGAATTTTAGTGTATTCCACATGACAATGATGCATATTTTGACATTTATCAAATCATACCTCATCAAAGATACTAAGAAAACAACTATTTTTTATTATATTATAAAAAAAATTATTTTTGTAGATGAATATAGTGACCAATTTAAGATTTTACATGAAAAAAATTACTAATAGATAATCATATAAGGTCATTAATTTATATATCTCAAATTGTATATATATAATAATAATAAATTTAAAAACGAAAGGACCACGGCTATCACTTTCTGTCACCACTCTTGGTTTATCTTTATGTGAATGATACGTTATTTAATCTATTTTGAGTTTATGATTAAATGATTAATTTTTTATAAATTTTTATGAATTGAATTTAAAATTTTTAAATTAAATTTTAAGTAAATAGTTTGTTGCGAGCTATGATTTTTTATCATTTACTAAAATTTTTAATTTTAAAGGAATTGTGTATTAAAAGTTAAATGAAAGATGGGTTGAAAATTTTGAAGATAAATTGCCCACCTAATGAGATATTAAGAATTAATATATCGATTAATTTAGTTACTTGATAAAGATTTTTAATGATTGTACTAAATTAAGTTAATATCAAATCTTGATTTTACACTAAAATTAAAAAAATAATTAATTTCATGCTTCTCTCATTTTGTAAAGAGATTGAAAAACACCTCACATGAGATGCATATCTATGGCTATGGTTGTGGTTGTGACACTTCATCCATTTCCTACTCTCTATGCTTTTTGAAAAAATACAGGTTTAAGGTTTTGTTCTCTATTAACTCTTTGTTTAAGCTTAATCTTGAACTTGTACTCAATCATTTCGCTCATTAGTTGATGTATAATCTTCCTACTTAAAAAGTAGGGTTTGAATTCCTTTTTTTCAATTATTAAAAAAAACTTAATCTTGAACTTAACCATTAATCCTCTTTACTTATATTTCAATAATATATATTTCTCTTTTTTCTTTTTTTTTTGTGCCATTAAAGAGAGACCTTAAAGATAATTAAATTAAAATTTAAGTTTAATGAATAACGACACACTTTGCATTACAACGATGATGTATTTTATAATGTAATTTAGGATAAGATAAGAAAAAAAAACTTAATCTTGAACTTAACCATTAATCCTCTTTACTCAAATTTCATTAATATAAATATTTCTCTTCTTTTTCTCCTTTTTTTTTTTGTGCCATCAAAGAGAGACGTTAAAGATAATTAAATTAAAGTTTAAGTTTAATGAATAACGACACACTTTGCATTATAACGATGATGTATTTTATAATACAATTTAGGATAAAGTAAGATAAAATACCTCTCATAAATAAGGTATTTTTGAAAATAACCTTTTTTATAATTTTAATTATTTTTAGTAAAAAAATTAATTTTAGACAAAATTACCTTTAATGACAGCGACCCATATGTTTAAGTCCATGCTTAAAACCGATTTATATTATTTGAACTTTTTTCACCAAACCATTCATATATAGAATATTTTTTACCAAAAAAAAATCTTTATAAGTATTTTGAGCATTTTGGAGTAGTTTTGATATACGAAAAAAAACCTTTTGAGCATTTAAAGCATTTTAAAGTAATTTTTGATACATAAAGAAAAACTTTTAAATATTTTGTATATTTTTTGTCAAGTAGACATATTCATTGATTGTATTGTTAAATGGAATATGGTATGTTATTTGAAGTTGTTAATTTTATTAAATGAAATTCAATAGTTTTGGTAGTTTTTAAGTATTACGATTTTTTTACATTGCAAGTTATGATTTTTTACCATTTAATAAAATTTTTAATTTTAAAGGAATTGTATATTAAAAGTTAAATGCAAGATGGGTTGAAAATTTTGAGGATAAATTTCGTACCTAATGAGATATTAAGAATTAATATATCGATTAATTTAGTTAGTTGATAAAGATTTTTAATGATTGTACTAAATTAAGTTAATAGCAAATCTTGATTTTACACTAAAATTTAAAAAAATTAATTAATTTCATGCTCCTCTCCTTTTGTAAAGAGATTGAAAAACACCTCACATAAGATGCATATCTATGGCTGTGGCTCCATGGCTGTGACACTTCATCGATCCATTTCCTACTCTCTATGCTTTCTCAAAAAATATAGATTCCATGCTTTGTTCTCTATTAACTTTGTGTTTAAGCTTAATCTTGAACTTAACCATTAATCCTCTTTATTCGTATTTAATTAATATATATATTTCTCTTATTTTTTTTTTGCCCATTAAAGAGAGATGTAAAAGATAATTAACTTAAAGTTTAAGTTTAACGAATAATGACACACTTTGCGTTACAACGATGATATATTTTATAATACAATTTAGGATAATATAAGTTAAATTAACTTAATACATATGCTTGATTACATAGTAAGCTTACAAAAGTATATAGAGTACAAATTAACCTTCTTATATCCATGAAATCAGCTAAAATATAACGCTGAAGTTTGACTTCAATCAAATAATTTTTTTTTGTTGTCCACAAACTCTCGAATTTCTATTATTGACCCGAAAATAGATTTTATATTATTATCAATAAATGGAATGTTATTACATCTTTCATTAATAAATTTAAAAATCAATAATTCTTAAAAGAAATTATGTTGAAAAAATTTTAAATTTTAAATTTTAGATATTTACGAAATGACTTTATATAATTAAATGATAATGTAATATCTAGCTATCTATAGTAAGTAAAATCTTATTTATCTTAAGCTCCATCATAAAGACAAACTCGATCCAATAAGCAACCGTTAATAAATTTTTCTATTTTTTTTAAACGTGGTGATTAGTTACTGTAACATTGCCTATAAATTGATTTCATGAAATAATGGAAATTGATATAGATTAACACTTGATTGATGCTTGTTATTCGTTATGAATTTATATATATTTATAAAAAAAAAGAGTATTATAATTTGAAAATCAAACTTCAGTTATATTATGTAATTAAAGATAATGTTAATACCCTCCTCGTGCATAGCATAAGACAAATACTTGTGAAGAAAATTAAGAAGAAAAATGGATAAATAAATATCCAAGTGGGATGGAAAAGGTTTCTAATTAGAGAGAGGGACACCGTCAATCACGTTGGGACCGTGACAGAAGGCGAGCTGCGTGTGGAGATTAGGTTAAGGGAGGGGATATACATACATACATATATATATATATATATATATATATATAATAAAAGAAAAGGTTAAAGGTTGAAGATGGATGGAAAGATGAAACATTGAACAAACAAAACTCTTTTACATGTTGAAGTGTCATTTTCCAAGTCAACTAGCATACGTTGTTACCATGTTAGTGCCATATGCTTGTCTTCCCTTTTGGATTTCATTCATTTTCGGATCATGCCCTAACTCTTTGGCCCCCACTCCCCCATTTCCACTCCATCTCTCAACTTCATGACATGAAATTTCTTATTTTGTTTTCTTTTTCCCTTCTCTTCTTCAATGATACACAAAAGGATTAATGTGCCCTTTTTCTCACCAAGGATGTGAATCAAATCAAGCAAATTGAATACCTAGAAATACAAGTAGAGGCTCATCATGTACTACGATCGGACACTATTGATGCTTTTAAAATTTAATTTAAAAGTCAAATTCAAGATTCTCCATTTTAATTATATTTAATATTTAAAATTTTTTATTATTTTTTAAGTATATTTTAAAATTAAAATTAAATAAAGATAATTATTTTTTAGTATAATAACATATTTTTTTGGAGGATAATATATATAATAATATTTTTAGGACGAAGTAGACTTATGGGTTCGGGCAAGTAGCTCAGCTCGTGTATGCCTCTAAATACAAATACAATGATATGTAAGTTGCATTGATAAAAACTTGCAATAAGATTGTAATTATTTTTATTATTTGTTTTTTACTTTTTTATATTTTTTTATTAATCTATTGTTTTTTTTCTTTTTATTCATTTTTGTCATAAAAATGTAAAACAAAAATATCAACAAAAATATTTAGAAAATAACAATAATTGATTTTTTTTTATTTTTAGTTTTTGTTTTCCCCTTGAAACTAGAAAAAGGGGTTCATATAGACGAGAGGAGTAAGTATGATTTTGAGGTGTGGTAGGAGGAAGGAGGAGAAATTTATTACAATCAGCGCCGGCGAAGAAATGCAGAAAATGGCTTCTGCTATGAAGAATGAACTGTCATGCAAAGACGCCACGTGGATGACGTCATTTGTCTCTCAGGCATTGCCACGGACGACATGTCACCACCTTCCTTAAAATGTCTAAGATGCTGTCGACCTGCTTATGTTCTTCGAGGAAAAATGTTAACCATTGTTACTACCACTTCTAAACTTCCATTTTACCTTAAAATATCCATGGAGGAAAGTCTTTGATCGTGAAGGAAATTCGTACAATCTCGGGTCACACAAACTACTTAAATAAAAAAAAAAAAGTAAATGTCACAGTCTCAACAAAAAATCATATAAATCTCACATCATATACATTCAATTAATAAATAGAGTTATAAATTTCATATCAAAATAAATTTTTAAAAATGAATTTAAAAAAGATATCATAATCTTAGTAAGATATAAATCTCACATCAATTGTATATTAATGTGATATTGATCATTTAATATTTCACATTATCTTTAAATTATAAAATATTTTTAGTTGGATAAAATTGTGAAACTACTGCATCAAAGCAAACAATATTTCACAAAATTGACGTGGACCATAACATTAAGCCATGACTATTTGATAAGACACTTCACTATCTGACTCAAAAATATTAAGGATGAAACCTAAAATATCCATTTCCCATAACTATACCTTGATATATATATATATATATATATATTAAATGCAAGCCTAAAATTTAGAGGTTTCTTGTCGTACGGATTTCTTTGTCCCAAGTAAATAATTAATAGCAGATGGCAAGTTGTCAAGTAATTGAAGCAGTTAAAGAGGATGAATCTGCAATCAGAGAAGGAAACACATACGTGCGGATGCACTGTCGAGAAATGGCCCAATGTTTAGTTACTCCGAGTTCCTCAGTTTCTAATTAGACATTGGTCTTTCGGCCCGAGATAGGGCACATCTTGTACTGTTAAGAACCATGTCAACGTTGTAACGATTAAGTACTTTCTAGAAGAGAAAAAATTAAGCTAATTTCCCCTACTGCTTTTGGCCCAAGACAATGTCCACTTCACAAGAAAAGTAGTTTTAATTAGTGCCTTTCTTTCTTAGTCAGCACCATGAAACTCTAAGGAAAAAAGCTCCAATCTTCCTCTTTTTTTCCCTATCATAGCTTATTTCTCTCTTTTGTCATAGAGCCATAGAAATTTAAGATTGAATTGATTTTCCGCTATGATTATGAAGCAGAAGGCCCGATACCAAGAAAAAGGATTGCAGTCGGCAGTTTCATAGTAGAGTTGTATTTTGTTGAAAAGTATAGTTTCGTGTTGCCCTTGTCATAAAGGGCCCCTAGCTAGCTAGCCACTAGAGCTTTATTCTTCATGCCATATGCCTCTTTTACATCTTCTTTAGCTACTGCTATAAACCCATCCCTTCCTTCTCAAAGCTTATTAGCCATGAGAGAGTAGAACAATAAACCATGCATTGTTTACATTAAGAAATTTTTTTGCTTACTCAATGGAAAAACCAACACTTTCCCCAGGGTCTTCAAACCATTAAAAGTCACTCAAAAGCCCATCCAAAACAAGGAGGAAGAATAGTAAAGACTAAGTAGTAATAGTTTCCAACTTTTCTCTTTGACAACAACAACAATAGCTAACTAGCTGCAACTAAATTCAATACCTACACTGCCTTAAAAAGATGAAGAAAATCAGGTTACAAGCTTACAATTCCATCGTGAAAGAACCCCAAACTTTCTCTCTTCAAGAACTGAAGGAAAAGCCAAGACAGAACAGGGTCCTTGAACTTCATCTGTAAGATTTAAGAATAGCTCCACAGAATGTGCAAACGATAGCCCTCCAAGATTTCCAATAAAACGGAACATAACAAAACCGGGTGATCGTTTTCATGTCCCCGACGCTAGCTCCAGCGCCACACCGCGAGCACGTCCCGGCTGCCGGCTTGGTGCTCGTCAGCTTCCGCCTTTGGTCTACCAGGAAGCAGAAGCAGACCATTTGAGAGATTTATATTCCAAAGGACAATAAATATAAAAGTGCACGAATAAGCTCGTTCAAACTTAGGAAGGGGGATTTATAGACCAAAGAAATTTTGTTAAAGGTCGAACTGTTTGTAGTCGAAATGGCCGTACGATGCAGACACGTGTGCGGGATCAGGCAGAAAGAGCTCAATGTTTTGTTTCCATGCTCTTTCAGAGGGGAACCTGTCCAGCCATCATGGCAATAATGTGGACGGTTTACACTTGGCCAAGGCAGTTGGGGTTTGTAATTGAGTTGCAGGAAAGTTGCTGCACAACAGTAAAAACCTGAACTGAAATATGTACCGGGCTTTAATGAAGGTTAGGAAAAATATCTAGAAGAAAGTAGGTTTAATTTTTAAATTTTACGCGATTATTTAAAAAAATTTAAGAACTTAAAAGTTTTACTGTTAATACGTAAGATAACGACGAGACAAATTATTCACGAGGAATACATGATTCAATTGTAAATATTTGTACTATATTCATTTAATTAAAGTAAATTGTTTCAGATGTGTCATAATGGCATGGAATGTGAAATTTTAAAGAGAATAGAGTATTGTTGCTGTCCGGAGTTCCACATTGTACATCCTTTTTGAATCATGAGTACATTTTTTAGTGAAATTGGACCCATATTATTTAATTCACCTATAACTTTATCTTTCAAATACATTTCATTATCTATAATTTAAAGATTAATTTTCGTAAACACAACGGTCATAGAATGAGTACATCATATGCATATGATTACCTTCGAGACGTCGAACATTCAAGGAAGTTCAATGGGAGAGAGATAAGTCAAACCTTGATTATTAACATGTTCAAATTTAACTCTTTCGATTTATGTTAATCATGATTATAAATCTAAATAGAAATTGTTATTATCAAACCACTACATTAATTCAAAGGTACTATGTGAAGGTGGGAAAATTGAGAGAAGGTTTCAAATAAATGGGCTAGAAAGGGATTGATAGTGATTATCAAATCAAATAACATTTAATTGTGATACAATACAAGAAGTCCAAATTCATCACAAGCTTCTTCTTGATGAACAAGTTGCAGCAGCAGAGCCTTAAATCCTTTTTCTTTGGGAGTTGGGGGTTCCCAAAACAAGACAGAAAGAAAAAAAAAATAGTCAATATAAAGCAGCCATCAATTATATAAATAGTAAATTACTAAAAATACATTAGCAAGGCATATTATACCGTAAGTATAATTTCCTTTTTATGTCTTTGCCTTTTTGTTTTTGAAAAAAGAAGAAAGAAAAACATACACCTTTAACTTCTCTCTCTCTCTCTTTCTATCTATCTATCTATATTAGTAAATTACTAAAAATGCATTAGCAAGGTATATTATACCCTAAGTATAATTTCCTTTTTATGTCTTTGCTTTTTTTCGAAAAAAGAAGAAAGAAAAACATACATCTTTAACTTCACTCTCCCTCTTTATATATATATATATGCACATGCACATAGGTGTAGCTATATATTGTGTGATGAGATCAATCCGGATGACAATGAATAACATGTAAATTTCATTACAAAAATCAAGAATCGAACGAAATACTTTTTCCATACGTTAATGATAATGAATAATATGTAATTTTAGATATTAAAATGTCTTTATTTTTTACCTTAACGAGCATATTTAATTAATAAAAACACCTTAACAAGGCATATATACCATAAGTATAATTTTCTTTTATGTCTTTATTTTCTTCCCAAAAAGGAAGAAAGAAAAACATACATCTTTTCCTCATATATGTTCATGCACATGGACGTAGCTACATATTGTGTAATGAGATCAATTCGAGATGACAATGAATAATATGTAATTTTTTTATAAAAATCGAGAGTCATATGAATAACTTTTTAATACATTAATGACAATAAATAATATGTAACTTTTTTCATACATTAAGATTATATGGAGATGTAGAATATATAATGGGACACTTTTGTACCTTGTTGGCACCATATTGTAAAGGGGACCATTTTGACATGATTTCCCTGTTACCCTATACTTAAAACTATTTTTGGAGCAAAGCAATTTTACCTCCTTCAAGCTTTGTGATGATGGGATTGTAAAATCAATTGAATGCTATATTTATTACCAATGCCAAGGGTTGTTTGTTCTTTAAATTTGAAAATTGCTTTAAATTGCATTAACATTAATAGGAAACTCAACATGTGAAAGAATGTAAATAATGATGCATTTAAAATTTTATTAAAAAGAAAATTAAAAAATGATTATACAAAATTATGAATTTATATATCTCAAATTATATATATATATATAATGATGATTTTAGTTATTTTGCATTGAGAAAACCTAGACCATGTAAAGAACCCTTATTTTGCCCAGACAAAGTTATCAATCCTGATCGGAATTTTACTATATATTCTTCTTGATTGAAAGGTGACTCCCAAAACTGGACCCACCTAGCTACATATAGGGTAGTGGGGTCAATAATTAACACAATTATATTTGGATAAAAACATTACTTTCGAATATAATGATATTTACATCTTATGAGATGACCAAAGTATTCGTAATTTATTCATAAAATTTTTTTAATATATAAAATAAAAAAATATCCCTTAATCTTGATATTCAAGACATAATCGTATCGAAGAAATTGCACTTCTATACTAGAAAAGAAAAGAAAATAAATGAACAAAAATAATCAATTCTTTTCCCTTGCTTGGCAGTAACAGTTCAAAGACCATCACCATCCTCCTTGAAGCTTAACAAATTAGTTACAAAGCAGAAGAGTTCACAGGGTCTTGCTATTGGAAATAGCCTAGTCTCATGCCCTTCTACTATTTATTGGGAAGCCCATTTTTTCTCACAGGATAGTGCTCCTAGTGACACCTTGAAAGGTTTCTGTCCACATTCCACACTACAAAATTTTCAATAATTTAAAAACTAATAACATATTGGAACATTCTTGGGGAGAAATCCAAATTCCTTTAGAATATTAAAGCTTTTGAAGCACATTGTCATATATTTATATACAAAGAAAAAAAAACAATAGAATCTCTTATTTTGGAAGATGTATATTTGATTTTGCTTGCTATAAACTTTCTTTTATGTACCATAACATAGTGTAAGAGATAGTATATAATTTCTTACAAAATAAGAACTTTTTTGATCATCTACACTACTAATTCTTCTATTTTTGTTGTTTTTATCGAACATTATACAATTTAAGAATCTATTTTTAAATGTACTTTCCAACACAACACCATCGATTTTGATCTTTTACGATATTAATTTTTCTATTCTTGTTATTTTTTATAAAACATTATATAATTTTAAGATTCGATTTTTAAATATGCGATGGCATTTCTATTCTTATTGATTTTTTATCGAAAACTATATGATTTAAGATTCGATTTTTAAATGCATAACAATATTATGTTGATGTTCTTGAAAAGATCTCAAATTCAAGTTTCAAGAAGTATACAATAGTATAGACTAAAACCCAATAACTTGTATCAAAAAACAAAGAAATGAGCCAAGAAAAACCAACAATCACTAGGTGAAAATGGATGAAATGACTAAGATTTTATTAGGCTTGGGTCTATTTCTCAAATTTATAACATTTATGGGGCCCCCTTGAAATTGAATAACATCCAATTCACGGGGCTCCTCTACGCTTCCAAGTTGTGATGTCCATATTGCTTTAACAAAGAAACTTCCCAAAAGGCAAAAGAGAAATTATTATTATTCCTAATATAGCTTTCGTTGGTATCCAACGGTCCTCATTACTACGTATTATGACGTGGCACAATCACGGTGGCTTAAAAGCCTGAACTTTGGACGTAAAAGTTTTCCACGTTTTGACATTTCAAACCAAACAACCCCACGTGAAATGAAGCTTTTTTCAGTACACGCGAACACACACACAAAAGCCGGAACAGCCAAAGCCAAAGCCAAAGCCAAAGCCAAAGCTGTCTTTGCACTAAAATACACGTAAACAACTGTAACGACAAACAACAATGAATGTAGTTAAGATTCTGTTGCAGAAATCCTGAGCTTTTTCCTTTTCATCTGGTTGCTGTTTTGATGGGATTTTTTTCTTCTGTTAAAAAAAGGGTTTTGTTTTAGTGATGGAGGAGGGGGACAAGTATGGTAAAGAGTTGGATTTGGCCGTTAGAATTGTGCATCTGGCTTGTTCTTTGTGTCAGAAAGTGCAACAAAGGTTGGTTTCTTCTTCTGATGAACAGGTTTTGGCTAAGGATGATGATTCTCCTGTAACTATTGCAGGTACTTGGGTTTTTGGTTTCTTGAATTGGGTCTTTTTGTTTTTGTTATTTTGTTTTTCAATTTTTTCTTTGGTGGGAGTGCTTTGAATGATGTTCTTGGTAATGGGTTGGTTTTGTATTTGGGGTATGAATTTGTAACGTGGTATCTGATGGGTGTCTATTTAGGCCCTTGCTTGTTTCTTGGTTGGTATAAGAAATTTAATTATAGTTTGAATGATTGACAATATTCATTGTGTTGTTTGGCTAATGGCATTATGGTGCTTCCATTGTGTTGTTAAAGTTAGGATGCATTTTAGTAAGAACTTTTCCTTACTGCTGGATTGGTTTCTGTTATGATGGGAAAACTAAGGAAATGTGGGAGGTGACGGTGAGTTTGTAGTTTGTTGTTCAGTTTTAATTTCTACGTCTCATTGTTCTGATCTGTTTTGATGAGATATCAGGTTATGGGTTATAATTCAAGTGCAGTCTGTATTGAATTCGGTGGCATTCTTCAAAGATGACAATGAACTCCACAAATATCATTGTCAAGTGCATGGTACATTGATGGTCCTATGAAAAGTATAAGTAGCTGGGGATCATGTAATTGGAAAATAGGACTTTTGTTCTGTTTCGGAAAAGTCTATATTAATTTGCATTGCCCAAAGGTTAGGTTGCATTGTCTAAGTAAATGAAAAAGGTTGGGGAGGCAGGGTGGACCTTTGCCAGTTGAAAGGTTACTCTGAAAGTTTCATGAAAGTTCATCTAAGGATTGAAGTCGAAGCGAATTATGCCAGTGGTATGCTAATAGAAACAGAATTGCAAGCATCAGTATTTGCACATAATTGCAATTGATTGCTTTAACAAGTAAGAACTGTCTGAGGTTTGACTGATTGAGTCATTAAAAATAAGAAACGAGGTGTCTTAGAAACTGTTTGGCTTTCCCCTCAACTTTCTATTTCCCTTTTCTTTCATGGATCAAGCTTAGTCCCTCTACTTGGTTGTGTCTGAGGAGGGAGAAAGAATTTTGTGCAAGAAGGGTCTTTCACTTGTTTATACTTCCTAAGGTGAAGTGTGAAAATGCAATGTAGTTTACAGGAAATAGGCTTGCCCTTTGTAGTTCTTAACTGATCATCATATTCTTCCAGTCTATTTGCACCAGTTGTATTTTTTTTAGTTTCAAATGATGAAGCATTATAGTATGAGATGATTATAGAAGCATTTCTAGCATAAATGTCTAATACCATAATATGGTTTCTGAAAGCACAGAGTTTGTTGTTTTACTCAATGAATACATTTATCATATTTTGTTAGGGTGTTTGTGCAACTATGATCTGTTCAGCAATTCTTTTGATTGTTTCTATGTTAACAGACTGGAGTGTCCAAGCCACTGTAAGTTGGCTGCTTTCAGAATTCTTGGAGGGTCAGAATGTGTCCATTGTTGCTGAGGAAGATGTCCAAACACTCTCCAAGTCTGATGCAGCAGACTTACTTGCAGCTGTAGTGAACACTGTTAATGAATGCTTAGCTGAAGCGCCAAAGTACGGTCTTCAGTGTCCTAAGGATGCTCTTGGGACTTCAAAAATCCTTGAGGCTATCAGCCGATGCAACTCAACTGGGGGCCCAACTGGAAGACATTGGGTGCTTGACCCTGTTGACGGGACATTAGGGTTTGTACGTGGTGATCAGTATGCTGTAGCACTAGCCTTGATTGAGGAGGGGAAGCTAGTTCTTGGAGTTCTTGGGTGCCCTAATTACCCTATGAAAAAGGAATTGTTAAATTATAATCATCGTCGCCACCAAACTATGCCAAAGTCTCTTCCATCTTCTGATATTTGGGAAAAAGGACGTGTGATGTATGCAAGGAGAGGAAGTGGTCAGGCATGGATGCAACCATTGATCCTTGGGGATACAAAATTTGAATGGCCAAATTCTGCTAGATTGATACAGGTTTCTCCTGTTGATGATCCATCTCTGGCAACTTTTTGTGAACCTGTGGAGAAGGCAAATTCAAACCACTCATTTACCGCAGGACTTGCTAACAGCATGGGTCTCAAGTATGTTACTTTTGTGTTCGCTTCTAAGTTTCAATCTGTTTCCTGCACTTGGTGAGTGAAATGAAGAAGTTGAATTTCCTCCTTCACTTAGTTTCTGAAGGTTAGAAAATGTTAACATATGAGAGGATTAAACTAGAATGTTGGTTAGAAAGACTTGATTTGAAGTTATATAGTTTTAATGAAGCCGTCTTTATTTGATTCTCATATATCTCTTCATCCTTTCTAATGGCAGAAAGAAACCTATGCGTGTCCATAGCATGGTCAAATATGCAGCAATAGCTCGTGGCGATGCTGAGATTTTTATAAAGTTTGCAAGATCTGGGTACAAAGAGAAAATATGGGATCATGCTGCTGGTGTTGTCATTATAGAAGAGGCTGGTGGGGTCGTAACTGATGCAGGAGGGCGTCCCCTGGACTTCAGTAGGGGACTGTACTTGGAAGGTCTTGACCGAGGGATTATTGCTTGCTCTGGACTCATGCTGCATGATAAAATCATTGGTGCTGTATATGCAAGCTGGGACTCTTCTAATCTATGAGACTTTCTGCTTCTCGCCAATACAGTAATGCTGAAGCATTATGGTGACTTTGTGAGGGTAAGCTCATCAAAGAAATTAGCTTTCAAGTCATTCTGCATCAAAGAAACTTTTGCCCCGTAACAAGCAGTTTTCTGATGTTTTCCTCTCATTTAACTGTAAATTCTCTAGGACTCAAGTTTATGTCAACTTTCAACAGGAAATTGGAATTATTCTTTCCTATATTTCTTCCTAACGTCTTCATTAAACTATTTCAGGCCTAGCAAATGCTGAGCAGGATGCTGATGGCAGTAATGCAAACCATTGATTTTGACAGTGCTTTATACCATAACCGAGAACTGTCCGGTGAAATATATTCTCCATTTCAAGGATATGAAATTTCCAAGATTTGATCATTGATGCCACCCTTCAGTGTCCATCTATCAGTTGTAGCATTGCTCAATTTTTATTAGCAATATCCCCCTTACAATGATTTTCTAATGAAAATTTTGCTTTCATTAATATAACCCTATCATATTGGGGATGCTTTCAGATGCAGAGCATAAGCTACTTGATGTTTCTATTGTATGCTACCTTACAAGCTGATACATGATTTTGGATGTTCCTGGATATAGATATGTTACACAAAGAATTGGAAAGGAGTATGTTTTTCATCTTCTTCTTTGTTAAACATTCTGGTTACGCTCGTATTTTTCAAGCAGGGGCTTCTCTACAAGTTCAAACTTCAAACAGTCATTGTCCCCAGGCTTGTCTAACGTACGGAAAAACCCAAATATAAACCACAAACAAGACCATCACACCTCATTTAGATTGTGAAAACATGAGGTGGGGGATAGACAGAAGAGCTTTTCAGCCTCCTGTGCCCAGATCCACATTGTTAGGCCTAGCATTCAAACCACATGTTGTTGGGAAGATAAGCCAACCCTCGAGTCCATGAAAGCACACCAAAAAGGTCCATACATTCATATTAGATATGCCAGATGAACGTATTCACATGAGAACTTCGACAGCTTAGGTGCTATAAAACATGAACCAGGATGCATTCATTGTACAAAAAGCAAACCAGCATTATGTTAGTCATTCTTCTAACTTATCCTTCTTCAGAAAAAGTATCATCATTGGATAATTAAAAATTTGTAAATGGATTAAAGTCATATGATTACTGATCTAATGTGAAATTCTATCAGCGGTTACAAGATATGCTAATTGTTCATAAAATTCTAGGCTCCTTAATCATTTCCCTTAAAAGCTGTGCACACAAAGAGAAAAGGAGAGAAGAAAGTGAGGGGGGATATGCTGCCAAGTTTCTATATATAATGATCAAGTGGGAACTGGGAAGGAATCTTGTCTTGTTAATTAACCATACAATAGCTAAAGGATGACAAAAGTTTGTCACCTCACTTCTACTTGCGTATTTCGAGTCTGAATCTATGCCTTTTTAAAGTTTCTTGGAGATTCTTTTGATTTACAATTAGCAATTAATTGAAAGACTATAACAACATGTTGAGGTGTTTGGATTGCTTTTGAGAATCTTATAATTGAAAATTTGAACTCAAAAGTCATTATATGTCGGATTGCAGTAAGAGATGAGATGAGTTTTAAACTTACATGTAATGATATTACTCAAATAATAAGTATATTTTTAAGTTAGGTGTATAAACTTGTGATGAGTAGTATCAGAGTCTATCAAATTCTTCATTGATGTGAGATTTTCTCTGAGAAATATTATGATCGAGATAAATTCGAATTAAGATGGATTTCGTTTTTTTATAGATAGAGTCAATGCAATGAAAGGTAAGTAAAAATCTTCATCCACCTAATAATAATCTTGAAGTCTAAATTTTCAAAGCAAAAGTCCGTTCACAAATTATCCTTTTCCCTTGTAAAACCAACAAAAAATTCATCACAAATTCTTAAATCTTAAACTCAAACCAAGTAATTTGTCAAGCTCAGGGCCTAGTCTACTTGATTGAGCAAGATCATTTATCTTGGAAAATTAATCCCCTTCATCCTATAATCTAAAAGAATTATTTTATATAAATAAAATTGCTCATAAAGATGTTACAAGGACCCAAAAGAACGTACCCATTGCTCTCTACAAATCCCACTGTCTAGATATGGGCTGAAACCTGGAAAATCAACAAAGCCAGCAAGAAAAATGGTGTTAGGCTTTTCTCCACATTAAATTTTAATATTTCTTTGAATGTTATGCCGCTGAATTCCATGTTTAAGACTTTGAAGTAGGAAGGTTTCCACATTATCAAATAAAGCTTATACACCCAAGTCAATGTTAGGTTTGATTCTTGAAATAAATTATGGTATATTGTGTTAGGTAACTCTTAGTCTATGGGACCACAGGCACATGTTTTTCCAAATTTATTAAAGGCTTTTCACTTGTTATGAATCACACTGACTAAGAGCCTTGTCATCCTTTCTAATCCATTGGCCAATGGATGGGGGGGAAAAACACCCAAAGCCCTATTCAATCCAAGAGTTAGAACTCATAGCACATGACCTCTTCATCTAGATTGAAAAAAAAAAAATACTATTTATATGTAAATCCATAAACATAAAAACAATGGGTTTGCACCATTGAATGGTTTTTAGTCAATGGACAATGATAAATAATTATGCTAAAGTTTGTTTAATTCTTCGATAATATATAATAACACTTTATGCTGCTCTCGGTTTTTTTTAATGTTCTTATCTTTTACTAAACTACTAAAAAACATGGTAAGAGTTTTGGATAAACTTTATATGAATAATTTTGTCGTAAATAAGTAGTTTGGATGATTGAATTTGAGTCCAATACGATGATTAAATTAAAAAATCATACTTTTAGTATTTACAATGTAAATAGTGATAGATTTTCCAATGAAATTGGGATAGGATTTTAGAATCTAAACTTGGCTAGCTAGTTATGTACCATAAATAAACTTATTCAGTAATAGTTACTCATTAATTTACAGAAAAATACAATAAATTAGGACGAATTTTGTCCTATGCAGAATCCTTAATTTCTTCTTATTTTCCTTTTAAGAAGTGATAATGTCTAGTGAGCTAATTCAAACTGTCATGAAAATAAATAGTATGAAAAAAAATACATTACACAATCCTGTCCAGATAAATACAATATGTAATCCTAGATTTGATCAATGGAGAGCAATGTCTGCCGACAGTTCCCCCATGTTCAATGCTACTGCCTTCCAATTTTGACATCAACATCATATGTAGTCCTGTCTTTGAAATGGGAGGAGAACATCAAAACTAAAATTAGATTTGATTTTTCTATTACTTTGATTTTTTTTTCTCTCTTTTAGTATCTTTGTTATGATAGATGATTTGATGTATTTTCGAAGGGAAAGCTACTCTATGCAAACTGAATTGACCTATCTTCGAGATTAAAACCATGTCTATTACCTTTCAATACATATATAATTATTGTTTTTTATATTTACAAAAAATAATAATTGATTGTGATCGATGTACATGTATCATAAATTAAACATCGATAAATGTATTAAAAAGTAATGAAAATACTCGAATCTCTTGTCTTTAATAACTATATCATCGCGAACATGAATTTATAAAAAAGGGATTAGCACATCTAGTTATTGCAAAGGTTGAAATCCTTGATCTTGACAGCACATAAAAATCAAACTAGACCCAAACTTGGAACCTTGTCTCTCAATGATTTGCAATAATTTTGCTTATGTGTAAGGAGATTAATGCAAACCTGTTGGAGTATATAGGTGACAGAAGCTTCTTAGCTGTATACATCTCTGGTGATTATACATCAAATATAATTAACCATTTCTATATATATATATATATATATATATATATTTATTTATTTATTTATTTATACTGAAGGTGTACTATGCTCTCCTTCCAATGATCATTTGTCCAAAACAAAGCTTTGCAAATAAGCAAAATTATAACCTTTTTTTAAGAAAAAAAATCGACTTTTTTTTTAATTTAAAATTTCATTCGCTGTAAAGAACAAATATCTTCTGCCCTGACTTCATACCCTCTCTTTCCCCACCAATGAAAGGTTGCCAGAAGCTTATAATGCATGAATTAATTGAATAATTCGGTCCTAGTCCCTCCTAGACTAATCCAATTCAGATAATTATTGCCTAAACCATTACTTGATTAGGGGTACATCCTCCAGTCCATTTGAATTTGAAATTTTATTCAATAAAACAACACTCATCCATGACTACCATTGATCCTTTGGTTCATTATGCTGGTCATGTGCCATGCCATTATTATGAAAATTATCGCAATTGCAGCTGCCTTCTAGTGGGGTTAATAAAGATTACATATTATATAATTTATAGGAAGTTATCTGGCCTAATAATGCTTGGCAACAGATATGGACAAAATCGAAATAGGCATGGGACAATTTATTCAGAGAGCAGTTTAAGCTGCAATAGGAATTCTTGGTTGCATGGGGGACACCTAAGCAATCATATGTGAAATTGAATGTTGATGGTAGCGCCAAGGGTCATCTTGGCATGGCAGCAGCAAGTGGCTTATACTATGGGGCGGCTATGGCAATTGGATTGTGCGGTTTACCCACAAAATTGGAATTTCATTTTCCCTTACAGTTGAATTACGGGCTTGGACTTCTTTTTGTGCTGGAATAAAAGCTTTAGGAAGATTCAAGTCGAATCTAATTCCTATTTAGCTTTGTAGAAACTGTCTAGTCTTATATTTCTATTAAATATGAATGCTTATCTTATAAGTGAAATCAAAGAACTCTTTAGTCAAAATTAGGATTATTCATTTTCTCACATATATCGTGAAGTCCATCAGTACATCGATTAAATGATCACATATAATGGTAACTTATCATTGAAATTACTCTATTTGATTATCCACTAAAAAATATTTCTTATTATTTACATAGATATTTTGAGGGTTTCATAACCTAAAATGATGTAATTTAGTTACTTTTATCCTCAATATATGAACATAATGCCTAAAGTCTTAGCATACTCCCCTAATATAATGTCTAATTTCCTTAGGTCTTTAATCAAGGGCAACTCTCAAAATCTATTAAAAGTGGCCCCTAAGATGACATTTTGTATCCATCAAAAGCAGCTCTTAATTAGTATTGCAATACATTTTTGGTAAAGACATAATTAATTTCTGATTTAGAGTAATGGGTCATTAATTAATTTCCTTTTCAATTATATTTTGGTCCATCTGTATCAAGAGGCTATGTGAATAACATTTAAAGAAAATGACTCCATATTTCAAAGTCAAGTAAACAGAGGAAAAAAAAAATATCAATCAAAGCCTATCTTTTTCACATTAATTAAAACAAGATCCCCACATGAACAACAACACGAACCAAAATGTTGTAACATTTTCTTTTGGGTCATAAATATATCAATATCTTTAATCATGCCAAAACATGATATATATTATTCATGTTATATGAATTTACCAATTGATTATAGAGTAGAGTTTGAATTTTTTTTTTGATTAAAAAGAATTTCTTGATTATATCAATTGATTATAAAATCGAGTTCGATTTTTTTTCTGGAAAATCAAAAGTAATAACGAAAAGAGACGATCGCCACTTCTCAATTTTTAATTTTTTATATTATTATATTAATAAAATTTGATATATATATATATATAATTTCACCGTCTTTAATTA